CCAGGACCCAGTGTGCAGATAAACTTTGCTTCTATCATTTCAGCTGTCCTGGGGCTGAGGGATACAAACAAAGAGATGCCTACAGAAACGGCAGTTGCTTATTTATAGGAAAAACAGTGGCAATTGGGAATCCCAGTCTAGCCAGCAAACGTTGCATCTGCCTTCAGAGACACTGCATAGCTGACAGATGGAGAGCTGCTGACACTATCCCAGTTTATGTCCTATGATATTGGTGGGTTTATATTGGCTACTGAGTGATTAATTGTTCTCAGATATCCATAGAAAAATGCATTCCATTTAAACACAGATTTTCAGCTCATATCATCCACTTCCTACTTTCAGCCAATAGTCTTACCAATACAGACTGATACAATTAAATGTTAATCAAACAAAGTAGCTACTAAATTCTGTAGTGGAATTTTGTTCCTAGATTGAGAGACTCAGCATCTCTAATCCTCAAGTCTCAGCTCCATTTCCTGCTCATGCCAAAATATATTTTTGAGAATAAATAGAGAATCTGGTATTTCACTGATCTTACCCTGGCCATGTTACAGATCCGGAATATCCGGTTGATGATATCTTCATCAATGTCTGCTGAAACAAACTCCACTTGAATTGGGCCATAACAACAGGACGTCTTCTCTGGCCAGTACTGCATGCAGAGCTGGAGAAAAAGCCAAAAGAAACAGAAAACACCTTAAGTACTAAGATGGAAATTATTGTTCTGTCTTCTTTCCTTTCAAATTTCTAACCAGCTCAAAATACATAATCAATCATAGAATGGTTTGGTTTAGAAAGGGACTTTAAGACCATCTAGTTGCAACCCCCCTGCCATGGGCAGGGACACCTTCCACTAGATCAGGTTGCCCAAAGCCCCATCCAACCTGGCCTTGAACACTTCCAGGGATGGGGCAGCCACAGCTTCTCTGGGCAACCTGGTCCAGTGTTTCACCATCCTCAGTGTAAAAAATTTCTTCCTTCTATCTAATCGAAATCTGCCCTCTTTCAGTTTAAAGCCATTGCCCCTTGTCCTGTCACTACACGTCCTTGTCCAAAGTCCCTCTCCAGCTTTCCTGTAGGCCCATCTTGTATTGCGTGTATTTGCTCAGAGAAGAACTCCTTCTAGCTCAGGAAAAGTTTTTCATATCATAAACGTGATGAATGTGAGGGGGAAAAAAGCTTAACCTTTTTTCCTTTCCTCCCCCCTTTCTTTTTTTTTATGAACACAATTTGTAACTGATTGTAACACAATTTGAATTCTGAAATCTAAAGGTGCAGAAAAGGTGGCTGACAGATGAAGCTTCTGTAGTGGTACAGATTTCAAATGAACATTAAAACACGAGTGTCTGCAGGCAAATTTAATAGGAACCACGTTAATGAGGAAACACTACATGCACCAAGAAAATAAATCTTAGTTCAAGCAAGCTGGAACTTTTTTTCTTTAAGATGAACTTTTTAGCTTTCTGACTCTACCAGTGAGCAAGTGAGGGAGAACGAGTTAGCTCTGAGAGCAGTGAGAGCAACTCCAGTTTTAGAGTGAACCACAACCAAATCTCTGAAGTTTGTGAAGCAGGTTGGAAGTCTTTTTTCTTATGCTGATATTACTGAATTGAAAGTACAAAAAAAACCCCACTCTATCCACACAAATTACAATCTAAGTATTTCAAATCCATCTGGAAATAGATCATGGAGAGAAAATATTTTGCATGAGATCTCATTAGCAGTTTCTGCTGAGATTGTACTACTTTCTGGTTTTGTCTTCCTATTTTTAAATGAAATTTTTTAGAAGTTTTGAAACCCCCAGATGCTCATTGGAACTTGATCTCAAGCCTTTCAAGTTCAGTCATTGCCTGTAATAATGTCAAGTGTTTGCATGCTACTGCATTAATTCTGCATTCCTGTTATTCCTTTGATCATATGGGATTGAAATTGGGTGGGATATTCATGCAATCTTATGCATCTTTGCCCTTGTTAGTTTTTCAAGATTAAGCAAGCCAGCCAAGACCACATCAGCAAGTCCTCCTTTGAAGGTTGGCTTTACTCTTCATTCAGACTTTCAAGCAGCCTACAGATCTCTCAAAGCATAGGCCAGGAGATTTGAGCTGAGCAGGGACTTTAGGAAACAACCTCAAGGTGCATTGGAAAGAAGAAAAAGATTAAACCTTTCCTTAATATTAAAAATCCACTTTTCATAAAGCAGGTCTGTGAATGGCCATCCTCTCAAACATATACAGCCCTTAAAATGGTCTGTTGCGTTCTCTGACCTCCACATGGTTTTAATCACACTTTTTCCCCTGCGTGGTGGATTAAAGGTTCACGCACCTATTTATTTTAACTCTTTTCTTCTTTACAATTCAGGCAGAGCTTTTATATAAGCAATTTTTGTGTTTGCATTCTATTCATGGAGATGAATAACAGGCCCTGCTCCTGCACACAAACACGGATCTGCAGGCAACGGTACACTAACAGTGCTGGGATTAGGCAATGATGGACAGCTCGATAATTACATCACTGTCACACAACGACAGTGCAAGCACAACACTGTTATGTTCCCTTTTCAGAAACCTCACTTTCACAACTGATACCAAACTGTCACACCTTGCCTTGTGAGCTCAGGAGATACAAACTTTAACATCATCTTTATATAAATAAATAAAAATGTTAACAATTTTTTTACATAAATATAAAATAATTTGTATAAATAAAAAACTTCCAGTGCTAGCTGGGTGGTTTTGGCATTGGCTGCAGACTCGAGCTGCGTGACACCACACCAGAATAACTGGCTAAGTGACTTTATGTATTGCCAAATATCCTTTTCCATGTCTACCTCACAGGAACAGAACTTTGCTAGGGAAAAAAAACCAACAGGTAAAGCTTTGTGCAGAAAGATAGTTGCAAGAATACCACTGGCTGAGACGGACAGCTTTGTGCTTTCCAAGGACGAATGAGAAAGTGTGTCATTTCCAGAAAAAGCCGTGTTTTCCTTTAAAGTGTCAGAAAAAAAGGAAAAGATGAAATTCGCCTCTGGATTCAATGCCAAGATGCAGAATCAGGCAGGGTGAATCGGACAGGAGGCAGCAAATGCACAGAACCCACCGTTCTTTGCACAGTAGTGGGACTCTGCAGGTCACCAAGAGACCCCACTTTGGAGTAGAGCTCCTACCGTGGCTGGAAATGAAATCCCATAGTGTCCACCCTGAAGGGAGACACCCTCAACAAATGAGGTGATTGCCTTCTCCATTACCAACAAAAAAAGAGACCAATAATCTCGCTGCCTTCAAGTGTGGGGTAAGATTTTGAAGACAAGAGAAGAAACAAATGAAAAATTAATCCATGAAGTACCAAATGCTTGAGAGTTCCTCTCCTCTTGTTTAACAAGTGCTGTAATGGGGGAATTAGCCATGCCAAATACACTCTTCACACAAATTGCATGATTATGCCTTTTTGAAAGCTGTTATCTTCTGCCACTCATCAGCAAGGTGGTTGGAAATGTCAGCACAGGAGGAACCGCAGCGGCTCCTGCCCCAGCAAGCTCCACTCCTGAAAATAATGGTGTGTTTGGCAGCCAAGAAACCAATTTACACGTGACACTAGAAAGGGAAAAAAAAAACCCCAATGTGCTTCTCCAGAAACTGTGCATATCTCACTTCTCAGTATTACAGAATTGCATTGGAAATCTCAGGGGAAAGAGCCTTCAAATGGTTTTATTCTTCTGGAAATGTCATGTGAACAGGTAAGCACAAAGCACACTGGGGCTGTGGCAGGGAACATTTTTCTGAACTAAAGCTAAAAATAAGAAAAGGAAGAAAGCAGGTTTGGGAGGAAGATTTAGGTCCAAAACCACAATGTATTTAGACATCCAATCCCTGTTAATTGCAGGAAGAATTAGCTGCCATAGAAGGAGCCAAGAACGTGGACTTATCCTTCATTATACCCCGAAATATTACATATTACTTTCTAGTTCCCCTTTATTTATTTATTGGGGTGGCGAAGGGGGGGGGCATAACAAAATATCAGTAGAGATGCTCTTAAAATCATCTGGGTTTGAGAAGCAAGTTACATGACAGAAATGCTGAAAAGTCACGTACCTGCGCTGCATCCATCTCATTCAGCATCACGACAGAGGAGCAGTTATAATCAAACACCAGCCTCCAGAAGTCTGCTATGGTGTTGGGCAACGGGTGCTGGGTTACAATAAAGGCAGCAGGTTGCTTGTGGCTCTAACAAAAGAATAAGATTAGTTAAAAAAAAAAAAAAAAAATTCAATCAACTTTTATTCAAACGAATATTATACCCGGGAGGCTCCGGCTAGGCAATCTGAGCCATTTAACCAGATTATACAAATCACATATCCTTCTCCTTGTTATCGCTCTGCAATGAATGAATGTCTCATAATGGGATTCTTTTGCTCCCAATGAAGACATTTCATTAAAGAAGTCTCACAAGAGCAGAGATTATCCAAATCAATTATTTATATTTTGAGACTCAGCAAATAATACTAATTCTACTATTACTACTACTACTACTATCAGTAATATTAATAATTGGAAAGAAAACAGCTGGAAGCAAATGCTCTCCTTTTTGCTGCAATGGACTCCAGGAATTACAGAAGGGATTAGCCCCCCGGCTGCCACTGCTCCCTGGTGATGCAGTGCTACAGAGGTGGCATGTTTGGATCCCAGCTGTCCTTTAAGAGCTTGTGAGGCAGTATCCAGAGCCTGCGACACTGGCATTTAATTCCTGATGCCATTCTTTCACTCCGACCTCCAGCTCCCTAACCACGAAGGGGAGGCACTGTGCTCCTAACCTCTGCGGGGCTGTGTTAATGAATGTTTGCGAGGCACTTTGAGATGAAAGGGTACAGAGCTCAAAACTTTATCGCTTTCCAACCACGGCAGGCAACGCTTAGAAGAGCCTACAAACTGCTGTGAAGCAGACCTGAATCAAAAAGCACAATATTCCTGGGTTTAAAACAAAAAAAAACAAAAACAAAAAAAAAAATCACAAAACCAGATTAAGATTTTGGATTTAAAGTAAAGAAATAAATAAAACCCCAAAGTATGAAGATGGCAGTTGTGGGGGCTGGCCTTTCCTCCTCCATGAGTCAGTTGTGGGTGGAAGTGCTGAGCAGACCATGCTGGGATGGGCAGAGGGTGCTGTGCACACCCTGCACCAGCGTGCAGGGCAGCTGTGCCATCTTCTGAGCGTGCACGTGTAAGGAGGGTGATGGGACATGAAGTAGAGAGAAGGAAAAGGAAATGATTTCTTGGGAAACAATTAGCCTGGAATGGATTTTCCTCTTTCTCCCTGCTCTGTATTTCAAACCCAGGAGCACCTGTATGGGTGAAAAGCTATGGTGCACATGACCAACAGAAGCGACAGAGCAGTAAATAAAATAGTGAATCTTATCTCTTAACTAGAGTTAAGAACATGGTAATGTTTCTGCTATATTCTTCCATTGTGCACCAATAAAGCACATTGTGTAATGGGCTAAATTGTTGGCTGAAGGTAAGATGTGTTCGTGGGTTTTGCCATTAAGAGAAAAAAGAAACACCACCTGTTCCTTTGCTACAGGTGAGGAATCAGTCTCTCCGTCCTATTTTAAAGGGAAGGTGACACAGAGATGTTAATTACTCATGTAAGAGAACATGTGTAGCACCTCGGGACAATGCCAACAGAAGGGACATGACATGGACTAGTCTTTTTCCAAGCTCCACGCATTAAATACAAATCTATCACCACTTCTGTAGGGCTTGACTCAGAGATGTGGGTAAAGTCTCTTTGCTTAAGGATTATTTCAATTGCTTTAGTCGAAAGTGAGTGACAGAATTTCACCTTTCTTCCTAACAAACCATTCTGCAGATGCAAACATGACTTTCCAATGATTCTCATAGGAAAGTTCATAGAATTATAGAATCGCTTAGGTTGGAAGAGACCTTGAAGATCATCAAGATTCCACGTTACTTGAAAGGGACAGAGGACACAAAGACGAAGGTCAGGAGTCTCAAAATCTGCTGGGGGAGAATTCCTCCCCTCTGTGGGCAACAGCAGTCCTTTGTCTGTATTCCCAAAAGCCAGTAACTCAAGGCAGAAGAGGCTGGTTTTAATGCTCTGCAGTCAACAGACTGAGACAGTCTTCAGCACTGTTTTAACGAGGAGCCCAGCCTGAGTGCTGCAACCCTGTGGGAGGGTTCAAATGGCATTCTGTGTCCAAGGTTAATTTTGGTGAACACAGCCCAGAGCAGCCCGCCAGACTGCCTTCCTGGGACAATTCATGCTTCCCAACCCAGGCTGTAACCCATTCCTTGTGTACCATCATCCCTTCCTGCTCTAGCACTTCTTCCATCTTAGCTTTCGCGTAATACACAGAGCAAGCTGCAAGTCAAGTAAGGTTTGGGGAGAATAAAAAAAAAAACCAGACAAACATGAGAAATCCATAAGGTAGAGGTAAATAAAATGATCAACATCGGGAGTGTGCTGTCAAGTGTTCCCTGCATGTGCCTGTCTTCACACCATAAAAGAACTAACGATAGTTCAAGGCAATATGGGACAGATGATCTCTTGTAAGAGTCCATGCTCAGTACTACACTGCAGATGTGAAGCTATTGGAAAAGACAAAGAATTTGCAAGGTCTGTCTCCAACAAGAATGCCTATGAAAATGTAGGATTTCGGCTGTTCCCTTCTCTGATTTTTTTCCCAAAGCTGCTGATCCCTCTACGGAAGGATAAAAGAGAGGTAGAGAACATCATAGAGGCTGAATTTCAATGATGGGTGAAAAATTCCTCTGTACAAAAATTTTAATTAGCAGGAATTTTGTGGGGAAGGATACAAGAATTAGCAAAGTGATTTGAGGTAATGAGGGCTGAAATGTGCACACATGTTCCCAGTCCCTAAGAAACCAAAGAAGACTTGATTGTGCTTCTGCAGATTCGCCAAAGCACAAAACACACTTTAAAGGAAAAAAAAAGTTTCCTTAGGCATATTTGCAATGAAAACATCACAATCTTTCTGAAAAAAAATCTGAAATTAATTCTATGACCATTTGACTTAACATCCTAAATGCAGTAGAATCACTGTTCCCCAAAGACTGAAAGAACAGACAAAATTAAACAAGACCAACCCCAACATTCCTAGGGAAAAACCAATGACATTTCACCCTGGATCATATTTACACATACTCCAACTGCAACAATTAGTGGCTTTAAAGACATTTCTGTCCAAAGGCAGTTAGGCACCACAGCAAGAAACCGTCAACATAATTCACCCTGCACAAATGACCTGTGCTGTGAGATTCTAGCCTAGAAACAAAGCGAGGGAAAACGCCTTCAGACAGATTCACATCAGCTCAACTCATGTCCTTCAGCCTTAAAGTATTTTGCACATCTGATCCCTGTACTCCCATATTCTTAACTGTATAAGGTCAAATAAATCACTCCACACTGCAAACTATTCTTTTGAAAGAGCTGATGTGGCAGTTCCACCACCTGGGTGGTGAGACACTGGAACAGGTTGCCCAGAGTTGTGGATGCCCCATAGAATGGTTAGGGTTGGAAGGGACCTCAAAGATCATCTAGTTCCAACTCCCCTGCCATGGGCAGGGAAACCCGCCACTACACCAGGTTGCCCAAAGTCCCATCCAATCTGGCCTTGAACACTTCCAGGGATGGGGCATCTACAAATTCTCTGGGCAACCTGTTCCAGTGCCTCACCACCCTCTGAGTGAAAAATTTCTTCCTTATATCCAATCTAAATCTCCCCTCTTTCGGTTTAAATCCATTGCCCCTTGTCCTATCACTACACGCCCTTGTAAAAAGTCCCTCTCCAGCTTTCCTGTAGGTCTCCTTTAAGTACTGGAAGGAACTGGAACACTTCCATCCCTTTGAGGTCCCTTCCAATCCAAACCATTCTATGATTCTACGATAAAAATTTCTCTTCTAACTTACATGACAACCAACGTACGGAAACAGTTGTCCCACTACTTTGTCCATCTGCCTGTCTACAACACAACCTCAGACTGCATGCTCATGAACTTCTTTGTCAAAAATTACCCACCAACATGAGGCAGAACAACAACAGCAGCATGAGAACCATAGTCTACGTGACCCCTTTCTGTCTGCTTTTGCCCAGTTTGGAGATGTCAGCCCAGAAACTGAAGGTAAAAAAGGTTTTTTGCTTTGGATCCCTTTCTCCCAGAAAAGTATCCTGAGAATGAATAAACTCAATACAGAGTAGGATCAGTGGGGACAGCGCAGCGCTGCTTACATCCATGAGTGCAGCATTGATGTAGTTACTTGATTCGCCATCCACGGAGATGAGAAAGGGCAGGCACCGGTCCAAGGGCAGCACATCCATGCAGCGGTTCTTGTCATGGTTCCTTGGCAAAAGACCGATGCTGCAATCTTCTGGTCGAACACGTGGTGTCACGATATTGAGAGTCTGTGGTGGTGGGGAGGGAAGAAGGGAAAGAAAGACAGAACCAGGCTGAGTGTCTTTGAATTCACTTCCGAGAATTTTGCCATCTGCGCAATATGTTTGTTTCCAAGGCACACAGACAAACCGATCTTTGGGATCCCAGAGAATGAAAAAGCAGCAGCGCTGAGGAGCTTGTTGCTGTTACAATACATTGCATTTTGTACGCTGTCCTGAGGCGCTCTTCCAAAAACCGTAAGCTTCAGCAAAAACTGAGGGCACTACAAACCTCCCAACAATTTCCATCTCTAAAACCCCACAGCAGTTGGACAACACTTCTGCTCCTTCCTAGAGGCTGGAAATACCTGTCACAGGTACAAGCTGCAGCTTTGACCTGGTCATGGGGTGAAACCTCCTTGTGTTTCTCCCAACCCTAGTGTGGAAGCACACATCCATCTCCCTCTTCAAGCAGATCCTGTGCAGAAGTACCCTGAGTACTGACCTGGCTCGCCCAGCAGGTCAGACTGAGTTCAAATCCCCTGGTGATTCCTCAGTCGAACTATTGATTTATCTTAACAATGCATATAAAAACCTGAGAGAAAACGTTGGGATTTTTTTAACAGGAAAGCCTATTTGTTTCATATATTATTTAGACTGCTGCCTTCCTTTTGGAGTGACACGTAGGATGCTTCACTTACATAGTCATACCTTATCTCTGGGGTCTTGCTGTCAGTTTTTTACTGTTATCTGCCTTTACTGCAGCTTGAAAAACTGCATTTCTTTAAATGAAATTTTCTTTTGTGTTATCCACTGTGGAGGCCTCCTGACAAACCAGCCCAGGTTGGTCAGCAGGGATCAAAAGCAGCAGATCAAAGTGAACACATCTTAACACTGTTGCTGAAGTCGTGGCAGATCAGTGACTATCTGATGTCATTCTACTTTCACTTGTTATGTGTCCTCTTCCTGAGCAAAGCCCATGCAGTCATACAGTGAACTCCTTTGCAGCCATCAAAGGAAAACAAAATATTTAGGGGACAAAAATTCTTACCAAGAGCTTGACTTCTGCCACAGAGAGGGTATGAATGGAGAAATGAGGAGGGTCAAACAATCCAAGGTAAAGGAATGTGTCAAAGTATAAAATTTGAAATAACACGGTTGCTCTAAATGATGTAGGTTCTACAAAAAAGTCTCTTTGTCTAGAGATGGAAAGCAGACAGCCTGGCTGGGGAAGCAACAAGAAATCTCAGATCTCTGACAGTGCAGATAATTAGGCAGGTGACTCGTTAGCGATTTATTCCTGTCTATTTTGTGCCCTTCTCCTCTCCCCCTCATTTTCGAACTTATTCAGACTACAAACGCTCTCCAGAATGAGCTTTTACATGTTTGGACAACACGTAGTGCATAGGAAATACAGCCAGCCTTACCTGAGGGCCAGTAGGACCTAAATAACACAAATTACAGCAACGAATCTATAGTAATATCAACTGGTTCACAAAGATTGTAGCAAAAGATACCATCTTTTGCATTAAATCCAGACAACTGGCAACAACAATGTTCTGAGCCAAAATCCTGCAAAAATAGATTCTGCAACTAGACAGAGAATGAGCCTCTTATGCAAAGTACAGTGGAGCATTTTCTTCCCCCAGGAGTTGTCAGCCCCTGGCAGCAAAAAAGAACAATCATGCAAGAGACAAATCTCATCTCGTATCATGACAAAATAAGCCCAGAAAGCCATGACTGTGTTTTTTTTTTAATAGCTTAACAGCATTTGATGAAGTTAGGCTTTGGCTCCTTCATGCCAAGAATCCAGAACCAGAAACACTTTTACAGATCTGATATCACTTGATAAAACCAGATCTTTTTTTAATTGAACTGCCATCAGTTGGGATCCACATTCTTTATCTCACTATACCAACCCTGATGATTCCCTGTAAGGTTTCAGATAAAAACCACCCATTCTCCCTTTCCATAGAGAAGGAGGAAAAGAGGCATCTGACTCAGACTGGGGCTCCCAAAAGACATTCTCTTGCTGCAAAAGATACTTTGCTGGGAAAGGGAGTGCCCTTTTCCCACAATTAGAAGGATCTCCACCTTTTTACTGCTGACTAAGAAGAACCGCCTCTTAAAAAATAGCAGAGGTCTCTCTTTTTCCTGTCAAATTCATCTTGCCCCAAATTTCCCACAATATGATGTTTTTTTCCACACATCAGTGTTGGCTGAAAATCCTAAAGGGATTTACAGATACCTGGGGAATAAGACTGGAAAACTTAGTTCAGTGTTCTACAGGGTGAGCTCTCTACTGTGCCAGAGATACAACTGCACAAGGCTCATGGCTTGTGTGTCCCAAGTCCATTTATTAGGGTCGGATAAGCAATGGTGATAGCAAAAGGTGGAGGGGTCCCCATTTCATTGCTCGTCCTACACAAACTGCACTATGCCAGCACTCGTGAATTTTACTGTATGTCACTTCAGATCTCATCATCAGGTACTTGGCAAAACATCTATAGAGAACTGAGGGATTCAGTTCATTGAGAATCACCAATAGCAAACGTAAGGCTCACTGAGCTCACTCTCTCCTTTGTATGGAAGGACGTCAACAAGTTGATTGTCACGACTCGGAAGGAGCATGTGAGCCATGGGAACAGATAATAAGGGACCTTGAGGCATAAATGTTTCTGCATAAATTACAGAAGAAAATGAACAACAGAATATTTGTTGAAATGAGAAGTGCAACATTATGCGTGGAAATTAGTACCCTTGCCTTACTGAAGTGATGGGGAAATTTTTTCCTTGCCAAAGGCTGAAAAGTCCATGCTCAAAACCAAATCTTTGCCTGATCCAACAGTAAAACAACAAAAATCAGCTGAAATCAGACCTTGGCTCAGTGCCTCCCTTCTTTGCTCTGTTGGAAAGCATAAAATAACACACAGAAATTGATTAAAAACCTTCAATACACCAACTGCAATGACTGAGACATAGGAAATTACCTGAAACTCATCTTTTATCTGGCTGGAATTGGTCTGTGGATCTAGTCTGCTGATGTTGTAATATATGGATCTGAATTCACAAACTGGAATGGCCGTGTTGCCACAGAGACATGCCTCCAAAATGGCATCATGGACAAATACATACTGCTCCTGCACAGGGGAGGGGATAAGATATTAAAATCATATTTTCAATACAGATCATGAAATATCACACTTTTTTTTCCCCTCCTTAAATCATGTCCGATATGCATATTTGGCTCTGTTTCATGTGGAGACAAATTACACAGTGTGCTGTGTGACAGCTTTGTGAGCATATTTCATCCATCATTGACTGCGAGGTCTCACGTATTCATTTCAAATTTACAAGTCAAATGGGAAGTCGCCGCTCTCAGAAACGCTGGGACAAAACGGGGGCGGGCTGCGGAGGAAATCAGGGTGTAAAGCTTTCCTCTTGGCAATCAGGAGGCGATGGCCGGGAACAGACTGTGCTTTGGACCTACGATAACACCAGAGAAATGACTGTGCTAACAGGTCTGCTCCATCTGTCTCTTCAAAACCCCTGGACTCTTGGTATTCTGGGCAAAGCTCCTTTCCTGAACTAAATATGAGAAGTCCAACAAAGTTAAAAGCCTTTCTCTGGTCCAGGCTATTGTCCTGTCCCTCAGGAGGGGACAGGGGGCAACGGATTTAAACTGAAAGAGTAAACCTGATTTAGGTTAGATATAAGAAAGAAATTCTTTACATTGAGGGTGGTGAGGTACTGGAACAGGTTGCCCGGAGAAGTCGTGGATGCCCCATCCCTGGCAGTGTTCAAGGCCAGATTGGATGAGGCTTTGGGCAACCTGGTGTAGTGGAGGGTTTCCCTGCCCATGGCAGGGGGGTTGGAACTAGATGATCTTTGAGGTCCCTTCCAACCCAAACCATTCTATGATTCTATGATTCTAAGGCACTGAAGCACATACGTAACACTTGTGCAACAGGATAACAATTCCAGAGAAGTTTGTGCAGCTCCTGGATGCTACGTGATGGAGCAGCTTGCTTAATCGGCACCCAGACTCGAATCAAGGATGTTGCATCTGTTTAGCTTGCAATTGACACCAACTAGGTACTACGGGAGCCTGCAGTGTACCTGTGAATGAGTCATGAGGGGATTCAGGAGCTAGCATTTTTCTACCATGAGAATAAAATTAATCAGCAATGCTCAGACCTAAACTTCAAGGTTTGCCCTCCTGTCTTAGAGGCCCTGAGTAGCTGCCAGTGAATGTGATTTGGTGCACATCTGGACACGTTTAGCCACTGAAATTCTGTATAATCACATCACAAAGCCAGTAAACGTTGACTTAACGAATTGCTAGGCTCCTGCTGAGCAGAGAAGCTGACAGAAAAGCAGTACATCGTACGAGGAGACCTGCTGGCACCTACCTCTGTCTGCACCAAATTGACCCTTTGGGATCGCAGCTCTCGCACGCAGTTAAATATATCCACCACACCTTCGTTCTCGGCCATGTCAAGCATGATGTCGATGGCAATAAAGCACCCTGTTCTCCCTGCCCCAGCACTAAAAAAAAAAGAAAAAAACATGAGGATCTGCATGATAGACACAGCTGTCTTCTCTTGGAAGCTGCTCCCCTCTCCATATTGGGTTGATTTTTGTGTGCAGCTGAATTAGCTTAGGATTTAAGAGAATCAGGTGAAATAGTATTTCTGGAAAGGGAAATGGGTCCAGGTAGCAGGAAAAAAAGCTTTGTGTTCTTGAATATCCACAAAAAACCATGACTCTATGAAAATAATCACTGTGATTTTACAGGTCAGTTCACCTGCACACCTCTCATCACGCAGGATGTGGGAGAGCAGCCTCCAGGTTGCAAATAGACACAATTCCAGAAATTTTCTTCCATGGGACTCTTTAAAAGGCAAGCACACATTTACTCAAGTGGGCATGAGGAAAGGGGCTCGGTCCTCCACCTCAACCATTTCTTTTCCCTTTTTAATCCAGAGGAGTTTGGGTCCCGAGGAGGGTGATTTCCAGTTGTGGATTGTAAAATTATAGAGAAAGGAGCTCGAGGCTACTCAAAACCTTCAGTTTAGAGCCTCCCGCTGCTTGCGAGAATTGGACCATCTCCTGCAAAACTGTGTTGTCATTGTGTCCTCCTTCCCCCCTGGGAAATCATCCAAGCTGTTTAGGTGTGAAGGATAGAGAGAGGAGAACGTCTCTTCACATTACTCCGAAGGAAAAAGGAAAACTCAGCTCAAATCAGGGAAACTTCAGTTGCATGAAAACTCCAGCAGAGCCGAAAGCAAGGAGATATGAATGACCATAAATTAATGGACCAGATTAATCAACTGCTGAATAGAGAGAAGATATTTTTCATTTGCAGAATTTTAATGAATAAGTGGCATTTCCTCTCCCTTTATCTCTCAGCTTTTCAGAATTTTAACAAATAGTTATAACATTTCTATTTTTAGAGGATCCTGGCACTTCATAAATATCGAACAGTGATATTATCCAGCCAGGAATCGGTAGGGAGAATTTGGTAATTACCACTTAAAGCAAGTCATTAAAATTCAAAAGCAGATAAATAACGGAGAGGAAATGGCATTTATTCATTAGAAAGTGAAGGATGAAAAATTTCTCCTTGCTTTCTTGGTGACAGTGAATCAGGTTCAGACTCCTACCAGGGCCAGACCCATGTCATGGCACCAACGTAGCAAGCTCAGTCCCTGAGCTCTGAATGAATTCCCTTCAGCCAGCCCCTCAGGCTTAGCTGTATTTTATTATAAAACTGATTCATTGTTTGCTAAAGAAACCCAACAAAACAAAACAAAACAGCCCCTCCCTACCCCAAAAACTATTTTACAAAGGTAGGATTTAATTTATTTTCCTTTTTCAAGTGGTTGTGGGATGTATTCTCTCTCTCTTCCTGATCACACAGCATGGTACTTAGAGGCAATTTGCCTGTGGATTGATTAGGGGTGAGATTTTGGGTTAGCCAGCTCTGCTCTTTAGCCTTGTGCTCCAGCCACGTCTCCTTCACAGAACACGTGCCCTCAGCCGTGGCCCGAGCACTGCAGAAGCCGCTGCTACAAACCCAAACTCTGCTTCTGTGGCGATGTCTTTCCTTGCGTTTGCAGCCATCTAACCCCGAAGCCGGTCCGTGGGTGTGTGTCTGCTCTCCCACCACCACCAGCATTGCCTGATCACACTTCAGACTGTTAGTTCTTCATGTCAGGGACACTCTCCTACATACTCATATAGTGCCTTGCACAGTAGGGCTTTAAGCTCAGTCGGAAGAAAACAGTGCAGAAGAGACCCCACCAGTAACAGCAGCATCCGAGGAATTAGGTGTTCAGTCTGATATTCCCATTCCAGCTCCTGGGCTTTGAGGAGGCCAAGATGCCCAACAGCTGGTGTCCAGACCCAGGAAGACAGACAAATATTTCAGATAAGATCATTGATGCTGGCACAAAGCTGAACTGCGGTGCGTGTGGGTAAAGAAAAGCAAAGTTGCTGTAAAACTCTCCGTCAACAGCCCTGCCTTTTTGTAGCATCACCCCTTCTGCCACGTGAAGTTTCTGGTAGATAAAGCCTGGAACAGTTGTCCCAGACATTTACCATTTTTCCAGCTCTGCTATGAGTAGCTAAGAGAGTATAGGCCACCAGAGAGTCTTCTACATTTGACTGGCTCTCTCTGACCTACTTAATCATCTCCAATTCATGCCAGCTAAGATCCAGAGCTGCCACTTTAGAAAAGAAAACCAAACGTCACTTTGTTTCCTTGTGATGTCCACAACTTATACTCTTAAACAGACAAAACGTAGTTGGTTATTGTCAGACAAGAAGAAAAAAGGAAAAAAGCTGAAAAAGTTGATGGAAGAAAGGCTCAAAGAGCTCACATACCTGCAGTGCACGACGATGGGTCCTGCTTCAGGAGGATTGAGAAACTTCACTTGACGAACGAAGCCCAGGAGGCCCGTGGCGTAGCAGGGAACGCCGTGGTCCGGCCAGCTGGTGAAGTGGAACTGCCGAATCTCTCGGATCTCATGGTAGCCTTTCTGAGGAGACAACACAGCCTCTATTTTTCTTCCATCAGACTGCAACCAGCATATTCTGATCACTGCTCCTCTCCCTCACGCAGAGGGCTGAACAAGCATCGAGCTCTCATTACACATGGGAACGTGTCCTGCACTGCTCTTCACTCGGATTTCAAGCTGAACTCCAAGTACAAATGAAGTGGGTAACATACAACTGAGGACTATGAAGGTCAATATCAGCTCCCAATTCAAACTTCTTGTCTTAGAGTTCAACTCAGCTGATTAGGAGCTTCATGAGGTGACTCCAGTTCCAGCACACCATGGCTGCACTTATCTTGCCACGTTATTTCCATAAACCACTAAGAAGTCATCCTTAAATCCTTAAATCCTGAAGTAAGAGCCTGGGGAACGAACACCCACAGAGTGGGCATGCCCCAGGTAATGGCAGATTTTCTGTCATCGCCTGCCAAAAAATCTGTTTGAGATTACAGCTGGGGGTGAAAAGGGTAGAAACACCAGTTTCTAGTACCCAGTACCAGTACCCAGAGCCATCACTCAACTTTTCAGGTGAGACCAAGTTATTGGTACGTGAAAATTGATGCCACTGTGTATGCCCTGCCAAGGGTAATGCAGAAGCATGTGGATGTTTATTGTACAGGAAATGTAGGTGGAACCCAGCAGCAGGTCCTCTAACCCACCAGATTTTGGCACTAGCACTTCTTACCAAGTTTTTCAGTGATTTAATTAAATATGGAGCTGATGTATTAGAAAACTGGAACAATATTCCCAGTGTGGCTGAAGTTCATTTAGCAGAAATTTTTGAAAAGCTTTAAAACCACTTACTGAGTGTTTGGAGAGTAATTGGGACAGACCTGGAATACTCTGACACTTAGACTTCCAATTTCTAATTACACGTAACAAAAACCTTCCAAATCCTGCCGATTTGGGGATAGTTTTTATACTCTTGCCTTTATTATATTTTTATTTCTGTTGAAAGGGGACCCCACCTGGCATCCATTTTAACTGATACCTTTTTTCATCTGCAATTTGCCACTGTGAAACACGACAGTTATTATTCCTGGCATACCACCAACTATCTGCTGGCTTTTGGATGCATTTAAACTTCATGCACTGTGGATTCTACTTTTGTGGCTACATCAAGATGTTCATGTAAAATCATTTGTCCAAAATTGGAATCTCTGTCAAAAATTGAGGTTTCTGAAGTGAAACCTGTCCAAATAGTAACAGCTCCCATCTCCAAGACCATTCTGGATGCGTTTCCCACAGTTCACGTTTCTGAACACAAATTAAATGTTGTATCAAAATTTCAGCTGACTGAAGATTTCCTTACCTTTTGCACAGTAAATGTGCGTATGACATACTCTGCCAATGGTTCTGTCTCAATTAATGTGACCTTAATATCTCCATAGACCTCTGTGTCATCTGGCCAGTATCGAACACACTTTACCTGAGGGGAAAAAGGAAAATATTGAGAGGAACTAGCTCAAGTTGAGTCAGAGCTGACCTACATTTTACTCCGCTTTCAAGCTGAAGCCAACGCAAATTGGGCTTCCTTCTGATGTACAGACCTCGTCAAAATTAACTGTATAAATTAGATCAAAATTCCTTTACCATATGCAGAAACTACAGGGAGGATTTTTTTCAGTTTCCTCTATTGTGAATGCAAATGAAAAGGATGCATTTAGCTCTTCCTCTTCAAGATAGTCTTCCTTAAATTTCCATACGTGTCCTGACCATACATCAGGTTTACAGAATACCTGGCAATCACTACCATGATCCCTTTTGAGAAAAATCTATGCTCTTGCCAAAGAATTTCACTTCATTGGGATTGTGAGATACCGTTGATACGTTAAATTTGTTTGACTTGAAGTTTTCTTTATCGGACGTGGACACAAACTTGACATTTCACCAGCTCTGACAGGCCTCAGCTAAGGCTCAAGAAAGAAATCTCTTGATCACGTAAACATATCCCAAGCTCAGCCACTTCTAGAAGCCATGTGCACAACTAATAGTAGAAATTAAAGCCAAGGCTGTGAAGCTCTAGAAGGGATATTTAAGCTACCAAAGACTTCCAAGATATTAAATGCTCTAGCATGAAAGAGTGGAACAGCACCTAAAAGCTGAAGCAATTAGTTACTGAGAAGCAGGTTTCATGTTCCAGTTCCAGTCATAATCGGAAGGGGTTTTATAAATATTAAATATGATTAATGCAGGTTTGTTGGTTTGGGTTTGTTTTTTTTTTACACAGAGGCATTTATTTCAAACTGTAGTGTCAGTAGAAGGTAAAATAGAATAAATAACAATAAATGAACAGAAGCAGCTGGCATTCAACCATGAGATCTAAAGAAAATCAAAGACAAAGCAGCTGAATTACTAATGGCTGTAAGTAAACTATTGTTTAATTTTGTCTTGCTGCCAAAGCAATGGAAGGTGACAAACATCAGGACAAAATTTTTAAGAGCTCCAGTTTCTGGCTGAGAATGTCCCTAAACCAAAGGTCTCCAGGAGTGGGAGGAATATCCTGGGGAAAGCCATTCCAGACATGTCGTCTTCTTATTCCCTAAAGTCAAGTCTACGCCTTTCGAGTTATTTACATTTGCTCCCACCGTGGACTTTGGTAATCGCCTTGTGCTGACACAGGGACTTCTGGTTCATCCAAGTCCTAGAGAGTGAAGCGGTGGGTGCTGAGAAGGCCAACGCTGCTGGGTGGCCCCAGGATCCAGTTGTGCACAATCTCATACCACCACGGAATGGCCATCTTCTGAAGTGACTGGAAGCTCTAGGCTTTGAACTGCCATTTAAAGAGCTCTTTTGATAGTCTGAACACCAGTCACATGTTCTCGCCCCTCCGGATTTTTGTGGGTAGAGAAGTATTCAAATAATACAGATAAAGAATAATTATTACAGAAGTACAATTTTCCTTCTGTACTGAAAAAAAGAGACAGCTTCTCAGCTGGCATAAATTTGTATAACTCTGCTAAAGCCGAGACTTACACCAGGAACAAGATCCTTATTAGTCTGAAAAGGAAGCAGCTAAGTATTACAAAATCTAGCATTTTAGAGAAAAAACCCGGAGTGGCTTAATACATTCCCTTACTACAGTAGCTAAAAGGCATTTCACTCACTGATCTTGCCTGAACAGCAGCACTGTGCTACACCCAGTGCTGGTTTGGCTTTATGTGCTCGGAAAGCGATACCCTTACCCTGCCCACTTCCACCAAGTTGGTGACCATGACAACACTCGCAGAGTTTTCTTGCCAAATCATCCTCCAGAAATCCTTCACCGTCTCTTGCATCGGCCCTGGGGCAGGAGAAAAGACAAAAGGACATCTTAAGAGAGTGCATCAAATGCCAACGCTCTTTCCAGCTGTTCCCCAGCCATTGCCCTGTTCCCACAGGATCCCACTCTCCCTTTCAGAGCATCCCTCTGCAATTCAGGGTTACAGTCTGAACAGAATTAGCCTGTGAGGTTACACAGAACAGCCTTGAGCTTTCTGAGAGATCGGACACCTCACCCTTCCTTGCAGGGGGTATTTAAGGTTCTAGCACCCTGGAAAGAGAGGTGATGCCTGTAGTGTTGATTGTGGAGATAGTTCCAGTGGATAATCACGTGTAAGTGATGAGACACGGAGGCACCCTAATTGAGTCTGTAATTAAGGCTGTATTGAAATTTGTACCTGATATAGCACTAAAATTCCTCCATTTCACACTTTATTAATTATGAAGGAGGAGGGAAACATGCAGAAATTAGCTCTTTTCTGAAGTTTCCCCAGAGAGAAAAAATTCAGGTTCCAACAGCCAAACAGCCAGTACTCACAAGAGGTTTATTAGACTAGAGCCTTCCTCTGACCTTGTTTCTTTCCTCTCTTCTACGCAGCAGACAAAATCTCCCACGGACTCCTTTCACTCTGCCCATACTCCATCCTCCATGTTCTCTGCCCTGCTGCATCCCCTACACCTGTACATCCTCAGATGCCAGTTTTATTCTAATACCATTTTTCACTCTTTCAACAGGGACAAGCCAGCGAGGAAGTCATAAAGCAGAATTTAAGAACAGAGTCATTTCTATGAACATCACATTTGCAGGTAAGGAATGCACAAAAATGAGGACAAACAATGGTAGAGGAAGTGCTGATAGCATAAGAGTTTGACCAGCGATGTGGGAAAACAGCACTCTGTTGTAAAGAGAAGGAGCAGGGAGGTTTGTCATCTAACAAGGATAACCCTCAGCATTGATTTGTGTCTTTTTTTCTTCTTCTTCTCCCCCCATCAACGGCGTAGGAAACTACTAAATTACACAAGGTGGTGTTCAAATTCATTTCCTACTAGTTGCCACTAACCAGAAGTTCATCCATAACTGTCCTCCCCAAGCAATTTCACTCCAGAAGGTAAAGCTAGGCTCTGTAAAGTCCCTTTTAGTTCTAATCTCATACCTCATGCACAAAGGACACATTATAAATTGTAGTGCCACCTCTAAGTCCGTAGCACTTTTTATTCCTGTAGCTGAGGTTTTGCGTTTGAGTGTCTTAAAGTTCTTGGAACATCCTATATCCTTCGCTTATGTGCCCCTATACCATGTCTTCAGATATTCCTCAAAACAGAAGATGTCACCCTAAAAACAGCTCTCACAATAGTTTAAAACAGCAGTGGCTTTACAAATATTTAGACATACAAGAATGAACTTGCCTTGAGTTGCAATGTAATGGCGAGGCCGGTGGTATCCCTGGAAAAAAAGAAAATACGTGACAGTCTGTGAGATGACAGTTCAGACAAAGCACAACAGCATGTATTTTATACCCTCCAGGTACCAACATCTGCTGCACACTTAACAGTTCCTGGTTATCAAGTGAAGACAGGCAGCTAGGTTGCCCTACGAGATTTTAGGTGATGGTATCTTGCTCAGGCTCAATAATAAGATGTCATTATGCCAAAGAGCAATGAGGAACGGGGCAGTTTTCGGTATTTACTTGAAGAAACACAAGCCCTGTGACTAACTTGTGAGCAACTCGAAAACAAACAGGCAAAATTTGCATGTTCTTGTTTGAAAAAGAACCAAAGTGTACATTTGTGTCTGTATGAAAATGCTGCATATCGGTCTTACGTAAATTTATTAGGTGTATTTTTCATACCATAAAGAAACTAGGTGATCCTGATCTAGGTGGTCCTGCTCTGGCAGGGGGATTGGACTAGATGATCCTTTGAGGTCCCTTCCCATCCCTGACATTCTGTGATTCTGTGAAACTCTTCTGAATGTTGCCACATTCCTAAGAATTAGCAGTTGCATATGAGAAAATGCATGTTCATTCGATCACTCTGTGTGTGCGAGGGAGGCTGCTTTTTGAAAGTTATTTTATGACACTAAAAAAAAGATCTGTCAATCTATCTACACGCCCTCTGCACTGCAACTTTGCAAGAAGTCGATAAGTCTCAGGTATCTACTAACGCTGTCGCGAGGGGCTGATACAGATTGCTGCATACGTCACTTAGCCCACATCCCACTTATGTTGGTGGATCTGTCAAACGTAGGAAATCTCCATCTGTCCAGATTGGTCAGACAGAATAAACTGGAGACCGAGAACCTTCTCCCTGTCACAACACGATGTTTGTATAATGTTCAGCTGTCATTCGTGTCAGATCAACAGTCTGTCCCTATGTAAGATACACCAAATTCATAAACAGACTTGTCAGCAGGAGCGTCTGTCGGAGCAGGAATGTCCAGGAGCCTTACGTCGATGTAATTGGCGTTTATGTAGTCAGAGTGAGGGTCCCCATCCAGCAGTTGCAATCTCACTCTTGAATGATCATCTGAAAGAAGGAAAGAAAAAAAAGTGACAGTAACGATAAAGAGGACTTTGTAAGTGCTTCGTTTTATCTGCCGATTCCTGCAAGTGGGTAATTGAATACGTACAATAATCAAAAATGAAAGAATATCAGAGATATTCCTGTTCCTGGAAGCCCTTTCTTTTGTGTTTAAGATGTAACGTTTAGATCCTGACGTGAGTGTTCATTCATACTTTGTGTTCATTAAATTCACTGCTGTCACTGTAACCCTTACAGAGCTTTTACACAGACCACAAATGTTGCTTAGTTTTGGAGGTCTTAGGACAGATCTTTGCAGGATGCATCTCCATTACAAAAGTCATCTTCACACTTCGAAGTAACAGCCTCCCTGGCTCCATCTGAGCTACGGAAACTGAGGCAAGAGCTAAAACTGTCAAGATCAGGATAAAAATAAATAGGTCACGACAGAGGTATAAAAGATCAAGGAGGGTAAAATGGCAAATGAAATCCTGCAAATAAGAAATAGGGCAACCCAGCAACCTGAAAGGCAACACCGAAGGAAATCACAGCAATGTTCCTTTATGCAACCCACAGAACTCACGGCAACAAAACGCCGTCAAGGCAGTGTTAAAAAAAAAAAATTAGAAATGTTCATGGTTTTGAGGACGTTCAAAGTTACTGTAGATAAGGCAATATAATAACAGATATCAAGCTTTTCATCTCCTAGCAAGCTCTACAGTTCAGAGGCAGAAAGGAACTACCCCAGCGGGCAGATTATGCCATGATTTTCCACCAAGGGAATATTTTGATCTTTCTCTGGAACAGCTGGTGCTGGGCTCTGTCAAAGGAACCACTCTGCGAGCCGGGCTGTTGGGCTCATTTGGTCTGGCAACCCCAGCACCGGTTAATTGCAGAACTGCTATCTAAGGGCCAGTAGCTCACAAAGGCTACTGGGTTACAGAGGTCACTGCTGGGCATGCCGGGCTCGTTTCTAAAGGATTTTTGAAAGAAGTATAATATAGAGTCCATTAATTTTATTTCCTCTCTATCAGCTTCGTAGACCCTAGCTCTCACATCAGTAAAGCATTACTGTTTGGAAGCAGTTGGCAAAACAAGGGCCTAAGCATGATTTACATTCAATTAAAAAGAATGATAGCAGCAAAACATAAAATTACGAGGTGTGATTCTGCAGTAACTCAGTCAAAAAGGGTTTTAGTCATCACTTAATTAAATGTAGAATCAGATAATAATTGTGAAGACAGATGTGCACGCAGTTCTGAAAACCAAGATTTGGATTATATATGAAATATTCATTTGGTTATTGTAAAGCAATGATTCTCATACCCTGTTCATTTTTTGGGTGAGGTTCTTCGCACCCAAAAATACAACTACGTTGCTGTATTTATCAAATCCTGTATTTATATCGAAAAAAAGGTTACCATCAAAAGCTGTTATATTTGTATTAATAAATATAACCTGCGCAGATGCAGAGGAAGTAGGTATATTTCTCAGAGTGCTGATGTTCCCGATTCGAGACAATTACCTGCGCTCAAGGCAACTGCACTAGGAGTTGCAGTAAATCATGTGGTTCGACAGACAACAAAAGAATTTATACTTGGAGCAATTCACCAAGACAGACAAAGAGCTGATTAAACCGGACATCTAGATGAAATACACGAAATCTCCCGTAAACAATTTCACACTTGCAATTCAAGGCAGCAAACGAAGCTAGTTAAGGATCCCACAGAACAAAAGGAAAGAAAAACACCCCTCGAGCTAACGGTGGGCAGGGGAACATTTACTAACTCCTCTTGTGATGCCACAATATAACAACGTTATGGAAGTCTTACCTTATTGCAACAACAGAACTAAAAAGTGATGAGACTAAAAATGACCCCAATGACAGGTGAAAAGGATCTCAGGTTGATTTTTTAAGTGGGACAAAGACACTGTCTACATGCGGTGAGTAGCTGAAGTGCTCTGAATAGCCCTCAAGGAAGAATCTACCTCTCTTTAGAATAGAACCAAACAAATTTTGAAGTTGCAGCTCTTCGAGCCATTCTTTAGTTAAAAGCTTAAAACAGACAGGACGAATACCTCCTGAGGGAGTTAGCTGTGGAAGACCCCAGAACGAGACTGCAGAAGAGGTCTGTCTATACATTTAAGACAATTATGGATAAAGAAAACATGCTCTGTAGCTGTAAAAAGTGGTGGTGTTTTTTTTCCCTTTAAGTCAATATGGTTATTCTATCTGTGAAGAACAGTAACAGATGAAGAAACGATCATTGGAAATTAATTATATTTTTTTAAAAGGACGCATTCAGGTTTAGGTCCAATTATATTTTGGGACCAAGTGAAAAATACTTTTAGTTGAACTTTGCTTCAGGAGGACAAAATTCACAATATTTCACTGCATATTTTATAAAAATGAGATTAATTCCTGTGGAAGATTTATTTCTCTTATGAGCATGAACAGTGCAGCAGAAGAAAAATCTGTGAATATGGTAAGCACACAAAATATTAATAATGTCTTAATGGTGTCTTTAATCTCGTTCTCAAGTTTAGGAGTACCATCTGAACAAAACTTCATGAAACAACTTACATTTTAAATCTCCTTTTTTCCCTCAAACTTTGGAATTTATTTAGGTTTTTTTTTATGGAGAGGGGAAAAAACCAATGTAACTTATTATGCTACTAACAGTAATGATCTTGTACTTAGTTTTTTTTCATCTATAGACTTTAAAGGGCTTTTTAAAGAACAGCAAATGTCTTCATTATATCTTCTCCCAATGGTCAGAATTTATTTCTGATTCTGCACCTTTTCCACTGGATAACACTAGTCAAGGAGAGCACATATTTGGCACACTGAAATTAAAGTGCTGCTGAACTCTTCAGTAAATTTATCACCGTTACAAATTGATTATAAGAAACTTCAAAAATGGAGGAAGAAACAGAAGAAAAATGCATGTCCATAACATTCAGGATGGAAAAAAAAAAAAGGAAATATACTTTACCAAATGTATAAATGATTTTATTTCTCCCAGTTTACTATAGTCCATATGTAAGTCAGCAGAACTCAAAATCTGTGTAAAGAGTACTTTGACTGAAAATTGGTCTTAAAACAGATTTCAAGAATGACAAGAATTTCACTGAAAACCATTGTGCTCTCATGTTAGCACAAACACGTTATCGTTTCAAACTTCTGTCAAAATTCCCATTAGTGATCATTTGAAATATCAGTGCCATTTTTCCACATCTGATTTTGACACCAGCTCTGGATTAATCCCACGCAACTTTTGCCATCTAAATATTACGCAGCTAATCTAAACTGGCTGTCAAGGATCCCCAAGAAGTCAATGAAGAAATACAGGCATCTTCTGCATCTTTTGAAATGATTCAACTCAGTTCTGGTACGAAAAGATGATTTGCCCTCCTGAGGCACACTGTCCTTCCCTTTCTGTCCCCACTGATCCTGGACCGTGCCGTGAGAACTGGGCAACAGCAAGGCATGATACATCCCACCCTCTCAGGATCATGTAACATGGACATTGCACAGACAAGCAAGAGTTCAGGCACTCCAGAAGAAACCATTGAATAAAAATGCTTGGAAGATAAAAGACTTCAATTTCAAATCCAACACTGACATGTGGGTTCTTTTTATGTTATGCATTATTGTTGTCCATGGCCAAGAAGTGCACTCCACCTGCGTTTCAGCTGAGAGCTCTGTTAATCTCTCTCTATTGTTCATTTCTTCAACAAAATTCTCTGCTTAATTCACAGTCTTCCAGCCCAAAGCATATGGTAGTCAGAGCATGAAGGAAATGAAGCAGATTTCTCTACTGTCATCAACAGATTTCTCTACTATCATCAACTCAATAGGACCATCACAAGACTTTAAGGGGGAAGACAGTAGAGCTCCACTGCAGATGAGAGGATGTGTCTAACGTAGCACCAGTATGAGCACCCCATGAGTGCTGACCTCCTCCGGTAATATTGTGCTCAGTAAAGGGAGAAAAGAACGGGCAAGAAACGCTCTCCTCTAAGTCAAGGCAAAACACAATTCTATGTCTTTATTTCCTCAGCTCTCATCGGAGATTTTTTACTCTTACAATATAATGGCTCTACATCTGGAGAAGATGGGGAGAAACAGAATAGAACCAAAGGTCCCATATAGCTTCCGGATGTTTTCTCTTCTATGCAATGGGTTGAGCTCGACCCACAAAAGCTCAGCATCCCTCCCCTAAAAACCACTTGTTGATGCACTTTGAAGGCCTCAATATCTAGGCCCTAAAGCAAATTTAAATTATTTCTCTTCAGCATATAAACGGATTCACTATCTACCCTTGCCCCAGAAAGAAAAATCTTGTGTCTCCACAACTGGCTTTGTGTTTACAGCTTTTATACCCAAAGCACAGGAGTAAAGCTTGTGGACCATGCTGATATAACAAAAAGTTCAAGTAGGACAGTTCCCTCCAGCAGGTCAAATCTGTGCAATTACAGCCCATCTTTCCACCATCAACAGTGGATTTCTTTGGTCATACAGACCCCACATCCACTCCACAGCTTTTCCTTTTCTCAAAAAAAACCCATACAAGCATTGCAGATTGAAGAGAACCCTGAAAAGCTGAAGTTTATAGCATGCGGGAGCTTAAAGCTCTCTTGTATCTCCTCTCCATGAACAGAGCAGCCTCATCTGCAGTTTTGGTTTCAAAAACATAAGAACAGCAGATGTTGGGGCTGTTGGTAAGACCTGGGTTTTCACAGAGAGGCACGATGTTAGTGCAGCCCTGGGAAAGCAGTGAGCCGAGTAAAACAGTCCTGCAAGTGTACTCTTGCCCAGAAGGCCATAAAGACAAGATCTAATCTGCTGTGATTCACTGAGAAAGAGCTTACAAACCCAGGGTTTAACAAAAGCCTCCGAAGCAGTTACAGAAGTTAGATCTAAACCTGCCTTTTCAATTCCCTTCCCAAAAGGCACGGGATATCTCGTTCCAGGAGTAATGAAATGACAACTGTGGTTAAATAAATAATGTTAATTGCCATCTGCAGCCTTTTCCCAGATAAACTGGTAAGAGCAATCAGTGCATACTCCGGGTTTTACCAGCAATTACGATTCTAGCACAACAAAGCTGCTAAGGGTGTAATCGTTTTCCACCTCCCCTCCTCTGCTCAGGCTTTTGCACAGTTTGTACCTACTGAGCACAATTCGTTTTCATGATCTGCCCGGAGGGAACTACTCTCCTGCTATTCCCAGCTCCGCTATCAATTCTCTACTCTGGATCCTGTCATTGCTTTTGCTCAGGGAAGTTGCCCAATGTTGCCCCTCACTGACAATTTCCCACCAGTTTTACAAAAGGTCTGAGGAATGACATCCCTTCCTTCTCTCCAACCTCCTCAAAACGAAGCAAAGATTTTGCTCCATTTTACTTTATTGCATGTCACTAAATTATCCTTGCTGTCTTTCCACAGAGCTGTTGTCTCTTCCTCAAATTCTTTGTTTCATCCATATTTGAGGTGAAGAAAACACACTCAAATTTGTTATTCACCTTCAACGCTTCGGCATCTTTCCTGTCTTTTACTGCCTTTGCTTTCCTTTTCTGTGCCTTTCCACCCTCCTAACCTCATTCTGAAATCTTTCCCAATAGCCCTCAAAAATTTGAGCTTCTTTTCTGATGTTTTATAACGTGCAGACACTTCTTGCTTAGCTTTGATTACATTTCGCATTCCCTTATTCAAGCGCATCACCTCCCATCTGTATTGCTACTGTGCTTATATTTATAGCTAAAAGGCTGACATCACTCTTCGTTAGACAACAATTCATCTTTGTGAACTCCTTCCCTTTAGATAAAACCCCATTTATCTTCCCTGATTTTGCTTCCTTAATTTCTTCTCACATTTCACTCGGAGTTCAACATTTTCTTTGTGACCACCTTCAACATAAATTAGATGGTGGCTATTGCACACAGTCTTGTCTCTTTTCACCTCCACTTTTAAATTGTATCAGCTGCTTCCTCAAATTCGTACAGAGAAACAGTCTTTCACGTTTCCTTCCTTATATCATACTATGGCATTTCCATCTTCAATCCAATGTGTAGTTGTTAAAGAGGGATGATTCGTCTGTCTTAGACTAATTTAATGTAAGCTAATCACACAGACAGGGAAATTGAACTTCTGTCTGGAGTTATCTCTCTTTGTCACTAGGAACACGGGAAACTCTCAGCGAGGTGGAACTTTTAGGCAGCTGAAGTTAAGGAAGACCATTTTCACACTAACTGTAATACTCCAGTACTTTCATTCGCCACATGGAGAAACAAGGACTGATGGAACTGGTGAGCTGCTCACAACCAATGCAGAAAGCCAGCAACAGAAGCGGGATTAGATCAGGGCTCACAAACTTCTGATCTTCATTTTCAGATTTCCTCACCTTTACCATGGGGTCCCTGAACTGACTGTTCTATGCCATTCCCCCAAAACTGTTACATGACTCATTTCTTCCAAGTCTTAAAAGACAGAGAGGAGTAGTTACATGTGAGGTGATCTTTCTTTGTGGCTAAGGTTTTGTTTTTTTTTTAATTCTGTAGTAAAGTCTGTTTGTTCTACAGGTAATACATATTTAACCTGAGAAAAAATACAGGACTAAATATATCACTCAGCGTGACTTAATTTTGCTCTTACAGTGTTCCATAGATTTATCCACTCATGAAAATCTATGGCACATTCATTTATATTCTTATTTCTTGTTCTGATGGTCTGAGGCCTGGCTTATCCAGCTTGATGCTGCTCAGCAGCCCTTAAAAAGAATTACTTCTCACATTCCCCAGTCATTATAAGGAAAAATGAAACATCGGGGTAAACTGCCTGGAGAGCTCAACTTTGGAGATCGTTAGGAAGAGGCTTCACAAATATCTGATAAAAATGACAGAGGTGAATCTAACCCTGACTTGAAGAATAAAGCTGGCCTAAAGGGTTTTATGGAGTCCTTCACCACCCTGCAAGTTCTGCGGTGTATCAATATTCCTATAACATCAACAGTAATTGGTTATTGAAAGAAATAAAACTAAGAAGCTTCAGTGCATTTTTCAGCCACCTTATTGCGATTCTGAGACAGAAGCTAAGCTTGTCCCACACATCAAACCAGCTCTCTGGGGACAAGCAGGGACTGCTCCACCGGTTACTGACCACAAGGAAGGAGAAAATCTGATCTCTGATCCATATCTAAAAATCTGATATATCTGCATCTCCTTTGGAGTTCCCATTCGTGGCACTGAAAGCTCCAGGTTATGCAGAAAAAATGGACACAAAATGGGCATCATCACCCACTGCGAAAATCTAACACAAAAGGATTTAGCCCTTAAATTACAAATGTTAAGCACAAAGTAAGGTAGGTAGAAAATGTGTAAAAAACTGTAAAGTCATGCAATGGGTCTATGTAAAACAATAAAAAACCCCAATAAAATAAAATATTAAAAAAAAAAAGATGGAAACATAGCCTGTTACAAACAGATTAAACTACTGAATGTTCAGCACTTTAAAACAGCTTTTAGTGAGATTCTCAAACACACCCTTTTCCACAGGATTCTTATAAAATCTTACAGAAAGCTCAGTGTAATGTGAATTTACACCTACAGGAGATTATGTTTCCGTATCTATTCTTATTGCGGTTTTCGTCTTCCTTGGCTGTATCCCAGGATGCCGTCTGCCCCTCGGGTAGTGCCTGCAAAATAAACAACACCAGAGTGTTTATAAAAATCTGGCCAATGCCTTCAGGTGGATTAAGACGACTGAGCAGGGCAAAAATAAAGGCGCTGCATAATTCAGTAGCCACAAAAAGCTGTTCTTGAGGAAAGAGCACATCCACTAATGGAAAAAGCAGAGCTTGCTGCAGACCATTTGCATCTCTCGGCTTCTGCCAGCGAAGAAGCATTTTCCTCCTGCTATTTCAGCTCTGAAAGGATCAGGGGAATTTGTTTCTGGCTGCACAGTCATAGGTTAATTTCCCCTGTAGAACAGGGTTTGTGGAGATTTCACACACATACGCCTCCAAGAACAACCCACAGTGCTCAGTCTTACACGTTTAGGTTGTAAACGGTGGTTTCACCTATTTCCATATTAATGATGGGGTGATGCAACGCAAACCACTGGTTTTCTTTGGGGGGGGGGATAAAAAAGGTCAGAGTTTCAGGTCATGTCTAAGGAAGAGAGGTAAAAGGAGGTAAAATACCATCACGAACTATAAAAATAAATAGTCATTTTCCTAAAATCTGCTCTTTCAGTTGAGAAAGGACGGGGTAAGGAAGCCAGCAGCATACAGTGCTACCCGACCCTATAGCTTGGTGCTATAACTATTCTGAACACACTCAGATGAGCCCCTTTCCCCGTGAGACACATCCAGGAAGGATTTTCAAGGCAAAGTCAGGAAAACGGCAGTTGCCACAGGATCTGGCTGGAGGACAGTCTTGCCTTCCTCAGGAGATGGCCCAGACTGCTGGTACGCAAGCTGAGCCCTCTCCCTGTCCCGGGATGGTTGGGGATGTCAGCACAGCAGATGGAAGCCACCGGCACAGCGGGGCTTTCTGCTGGAACAGCAATGGTGTTGGCTCTCTGTGTATCGCCGGCACCGCAACTGGACGGAATGCCACGATCCACAAATCGCCGCCGTCGGAAAATACAGGTGAGGAGAACAACAGCTCCCACGGGATTTCCTCCCTAGATCTGCCTCCTCTGAGATCTGCTCCCTAACATGGTCCTACGTTACCAAACCCAACAGCAACGTTACAAATTGTATTAGTTACAGTCCTTCGGGAATTATGGGGGTTTTATACCGCAGTCATTGTAGGATCGTAGGTAGTAGTGGGTAGTTTGACACAGCTGTGCTAGAAAATGAATTTATATTCATCTTCACAAGCCATCCAGGTCTATTACAGTGCCTGAATGCAATAGCAGAGAGACACAATTATTAGGATCTACAACACTGACGTTACAATTAAACTTAATACGAGCAAACCTCTGGCAGACCAGATCGCTGTGAATTTCCCCCAAAGGGGTTCCAGGACAGCAAATGTCAGGCTCTGCAGCACTGCCAGGAGCACTGCTGACAAAAGACAGGGACAATGAGTTCCTATTCAAAAGCCCAGGAGAAAGAGTAATAACTCTGTAATTGGTAAGGGCTTTGATCACACATATATTTCCTTTACAGACAGCTGTTTCCAAATAGCAGCTCATCTCCTGAGCAAAAAAAAAAAACCACCAACCAACAAACCCAGACACGACAGAAAAAATCACTGAGTAAAAGAAAAGAGGTGAGGAAGGTTCATTTTCATCTTCAAAGACTGAAGAGAAAGGTGCCTTATTTTTCTACTAATATCACATTACAGCAGATTGACTAGAGAATGGCAACAGTGATTAGGCATCTAATCATAGCCATCCGAAAAGAAAAAGCAAAAGCAGAAAATCCTTTCTCATGAATTCCATGTGGGAGAAGGTATCTTGGTCAAAGGAAATACATTCAGGTCCAACAAATCCCTTTTCAACAAACCCTATCCTTTCATGTGATTTGAACATGAAATTCTCCATTGAAATTGATGTTTTTATATTTGCCTGATATAACCGCCAAAGATTTAAGAGTCCAGGATTTTTCATCTCATTTAATACCAAAGAAATCTCTGCCTTTCACAGACCTATCCATCTCTGAAGAAAAGCAGCACAGCTCTGGTTGGCGAGGAACAAACTGCCTTTGCAGTAGGTGTTATCCCTACTTTTATACACACGAGATGAACAAACTGGAGTAACTGCATGTACACAGGTGGTACAGCACAATTCTTCTGTGAGATCACTAAAAATGCAGCAACAAGAACTGAAACTGCACTAGAAACACAAAGGCAAAAACATAAATTATCATTTGGTTGCATCCAGAGAGGAGCCTATCTAATGTTTTGTTCCTTCAGTTTTTGTTTGTACAATAAGTATTTCTATAATAGCAAAAAGGGTTAATATTTCTGCTTCTCTCCACATTATCAGCAATGGTAAATCAGGGTAGATCACTCAGGCATTGTATTTGATCCGCACTTCACAGGAAACACTCCCCCATTCTTTCTTTAACAACTGCAAAATTTCAGCCTTCAAAAATCTGGACTTGATTTTCAGGGTTTTCTTACTTCTCTTCTTTTAGAGAAGTTTTGAAAAATTTATACTGAAATATCTTCCCAGTAGTGGAACTTTTGTTACAATGATGCTTTTTATACTAAATTGATCTAATTTTTATCTGAAATTACGAGGATAGATCTCCCAAAGTGAGCTCCATCTCTGTCAAGCTTTCTAAGCAACATAGCCCAAACATAACTGAAGTGTTCACATTAAACTGAGGCTTATTGCAAGCCAATTTAAATTTCCAATGGATTCATTTAGTTAGTTTGCTGTTTGTTTTTAATTTAAACACGAAAACTTGAATCATTCATTCGCACTGATCTACCTCAATGCTGCAATATTGCTGCCAAAGGCAACAATGTCAATTAAAAGCCTTGCTGCTCGTCACAGAGCCTGCCACAGAGTCCTGGCCCTCTCCCTGCAGCCACTACCTTCTCAACAATGGTAGGAAAACTGTTCCCACAACTCTGCTGTGATCCAGGGTTAAAAACTGCTTTGGGTAAAAAAATAATAAAAAAAATAACCTGAAAAGAAATATTTCAGCCAGCTCAGTCCCCCATTCTGGTTCACAGCAAAGCCTTAAGTTGACATTGTCCAAGGACAGCATCTACAGTAACTCCCTGCTGCCAAATATTTTGCAATGTCACATCATAGCCTGAACCACAGGATCCATTCTTTTCACCAGACAGTAAATGTGTAGCCAGCCAGAAATGAAAGGGTTAAAATCCAGAGGTGACTCCAATAAGCTGAAGACTCTCAATACTAAGATGCTTGAGGAATGAGCCACAAAATCCAAAAGAACTGAACGGTCTCAGTAACACAGCAGGAGAAATGTACTTTAGTGACATCCTAAATCATACTGGAAAACGAGCTGGGATACTTCAGCTCATTATCTGCGTCGCCAGTAATTGGACCAGTCCCACAGCTCACAACAAATCAGGGCTGGTATGTTCTGCAAAAGGAACAGGTGACATATAAATGCATCCCGTTTAAATGTTTACGGATATGCCTAATCCCAGACGGTGCTATCTCCATCCAGTGCCGGTGATATATGTTTCTCTTGTGGTCTACACGTTTTATTGCTGAACAGAAGCAGCAGCCAAAAAGAACCAAGTCCCACTTTGGCCTCAGGTGCAGCAGGCAGACCCAAAATAACACACACACGGCAAGTGCTGACAGATTCCCACGTTCACACACACGGTTATCACCCACTTCACACCAGCACTGACACCACTTACACAATCACACGCTGGTTTTCACCTCAGTGGGGAGTTACGTGCAAGCTGCGAGCACCAGAAATACTTTTCTAGACGCCCTCAGTGAAACATGCTGCCTGTGCTCTAAAGGTCTGCAGGTGAAGGTTTACTTTAAACAAATATCGGATGCAATTTCCAGGTTACTCAGTGGAGACGAGAATGTACAGAGATAAGAGATTGTCATGTGTGACTGATATGCTCTGCTCAAAGTGATTTTTCATGAAAGTAAAATTATTTGGAAACATGTCACTAAATAGGCTGTAATTTATGCTATCAATTTGCAAAGTAAGTAGAAAATCAGCTCCTCGGAAGAAAAAAACATATTTGGAGGTGACACCGATATTAGCGTATGAAAACACGTTTGAAAAGAGACATCAAATTCTTTTCTAAGATTTTATCAACCGTTCTGCAAAATGTTTTGCAAAGCCAGTTTTGCAGCTTTGTGTTCCTCCAGACTCCAGTCTGAGATACTGCTCTCAGCCAACTTAAACCTCCTGCCTTCCAGGAGCTGAAGCACTCCCTGACATCCTCCCCACATTCGCGGGATTGCTGGTGGTGGCTGGAAGCTGTCTGGAGCTGAAGTGCTGCCTGTCTCCCATGCCCTGAAAACCAAATTCCACCACTGAAAACGAGTGCTACTTCGGGCAATTACCTCTGATTGAAGGGCAGAACGGCGCGTGTGATTTGAGAGCTTATGGCATTCTCCAGGCTATTTCTCCTAAGAAAGAAATTATGCAAATCTATATAATGTCACCGTCATTATAGACGTATGTAGATAGCACTTTCTGGTAAAGGCAGAACTTGTGGAGCTGAAAGTTGCATTGACATTTTTCATGCTAATGTGTTATTTTGATAATTACCAACGCCAGTGCCAGAAAATTACATATATGCCAGCACCTGTTTTCTTCTTGAACATCAAGAACTAGATCTGAGGGCATCTGTAATCGAGCTGAACGTAGTTCTGGGTTCTATTCCTGGAAACGGAGGCCAAGGGGGGGCTAAGTAAATTGCCTGAGAGAATTATTGCCCTTTTTCAGTATTAAATGGAGCTCTCTACATTGATAGTTTAATTATCGTCCTTGATTGTGGGGTATGAGTGACTAGACCTGGTTAACACACAGGTACCAGAAACACTTGTTACGGCAGCCTTTGGTGCCATCTGATTAAAAAAGTACTCCCTGGTGACAACCAGGAAAAGATTGCCTCTTGGTTACAGCAAAACCGGCATCAATGATACAAACCCCACGGACTCTTACTTGCAGGGTGGAATAGTGAGCTGTTTTCATTAAGTAACTTCTTTTTCACAGCTGTTATGTTATTTTTAAGTAGTTTTAATGCCACTATGCATATTAATTGCTTATTGCCTTCCCACAAGCTTACTACATTCATTATAATTATCGCTTGCTAGAGCAGTCTCACATATGTTTGATGCTATTTCCCTCTTCTGTTCTCTCTGCTCTAGATGTATATTCCTCTTCAACTCCTCCCCAATGTCATGTTTCTTCTTGTCATTTGGATTACATTCCTGGTCATCATTCCAGCTTGGGGGGAAGAGGTGGTGGGAAGGAGGAGGGCTGCTTTCATTTTTGCAGCTTACTCTACTTCTCTCCTCACATGGGGTTGGAAGAGTACATTAGTTGAACATATTCTGAGTCAGAGCTTTGAGCGTACTGGAAAACACCTTAATTTAAGCTACACAAGGGTCCTGCCTTTGCCTACTTTTCTGCATTCAGGGCATTATGCTGGGATTTCATGTGATCCATTGTTAAGAGAGTATTTGGAGCTCTGAAAAAGCTCAAGCAGAAACCCTTGCTTTTCTTAAAGCCCAGCTTGCACTAGTGTCAACGAAAGCACATCAGTAAGTAAGGGACTACGGGACTCCAAGTCCTTCATTGAGTTCAGCACCTGTTAAATATTTACTGTCAGCTCTTTATGGGAGAGAGGGCACACGCTAACGGATGAGCACAATGTCATTACCTTACTGCTGCAGTAAACACCTTTTCTTCAAACTAGAGGGCCACCAAAGATTGCTAGCACTCTAAAATTGTACCCTCATAAACAGAAATAGGATGGAGAAAGGAAAGGAATAAGAGGGTAAGTGAATTAAGGAAAAGAAGCTCTTAGAAACAGTTATCCTGCCCTCCCAAAGCACCTGTCCCTCGTGAGTGCCTCTTCTCTACTCATTCATGTGAACAAAGGTTCCTCTCACCTCATACTCCTCTTTAAATCCATAGCCCTGTCCTCGCTTCATCTGGGTGATGTGCTGCAGAAGGTCGGCCACTCGGATGGCTGGCTGGAACTGCCCCCGAGGGTAGGACATTTCCACCGGCTCGCAGCTCCGGTACGGGTGGGTCTGGATCGTCAGGGTTGGCTGGGTCATCTCTCCATGGCTGCTGTCTGTTTTAAAGACAGGGAAGCAAAATAAGATTCCACCTATCTGGTGTTTCCACTCTCAGTCTTGCTCCGTTTGTGGACTTGTTTCCCCACCATCCCATAGGTTGGTGCAGGCCAAAGAAAGTAAAGAAGTAGGAAACACATACTTGCCTACAGCTGCCTAGAAAGACTAAATCACACCTGAATATTTTTTGTGTCAAGGAGATAAACCCAAAGAGGTGGGAAACAGAATAAATAGCCTATCAGGCTAACGAGGATACGGCACATACAGCGAAACAGTACGTTTTGTAAGGGGGAGCTCTGCGTAACGACTCGCACCGAATTACGTACCTTTCTTCACAAACCTGCAAAGAATGTGTCTGGAAGATACATACAGATGAGTGAGATATTCAAGTGGGATTTGGGGTGTACAGTATGAGATAACTGAAAGGGGCCCAAGTTAATAGCAAACAAATTATTAGCATTTCAAGTAAGTCACATAGGATGTTAGAGGCAAATTAAACTGCTCTGCTAGTTCGGACCTAAAATTTATATGCCAATTACAACGAAGTAATATTAACAAAAATAATAAACCAGCATAAAAATAGTTATCTTGCATGTAGAAACTTAAATTTCAGACATGTAAACTTAACAGAAAAAGCTTCTTTTTGAAAGAAATGGATTAAAAAGATCTCTATCACTACGCAGATGGAATTGTAACCTCTTATATCCACAGCAAAACTATACACATCAAAACATCCCCAGAGGACTAATAGAAAAGAGCTTAAATACCCAACAGTTGACTGTCACAATAGTTACTTTTAATAACAGAATCTCAGATTAGATGAAAATTTTAATTTCTTATCTACCAGAGATGACCAAATGTAGATAGTTGGCCCAATAAACCACTGTTTTTTCCTATGATTACAGACAGTTGAGATGCTTGGGTTCTTTCACACATACAGGCCTTAACAGTCTCCATCGATTCTTTCTGCTCTTACCCCAAACCAACCTATTAGCAAACAGAAAACATATCTCCCTCAGATTGTTCATAAAAAAACCCTTAAGATTGCAAACACAAGGCTTGTTTCTTACAGCAATCTTACTGACAAGGAGCCTAAACCCCATCCCTTGTCAGCAATACTACCGTCATGTTTTTGAAAGGATAAAGAATAAATAAATCAAATGGCAATTTCAGGGTGATTTTTGTGAGGTAGAAATACAGCCGGAGCACTATTGCAAACATCGATATCCTCCAGAAATCGCCATGGAGTTTTGATCAGAAGCAGTCAGGATCTCTGCCGTGTCCCTCACTGCAAAGCTGGGTAGGAGCAGACAGACGAGGACACGAGGCTGCCTTCCCAGCAGCTGGCAAACCAGGGACACGACAAAACACGACAAATAATGCTTTAGCTGGTTTACTGTTGCATTGCAGGGAAGATACCAAGACAGGCATGTGCTCTGTTTTGAAGTTGCAGGACTATGAGAAGGAGAAAGGAATGACAGCAGTGGACACTGCCGCAAGACAAGCTGATCTCTGGTGCGAGATAAATAAGACTGGTGGCTGAAGTATCAGAGATGCCGAACGCATCCTGCTTCTTCGGAAATAAATTAGCACCAAGCGATCATCTGCTCTGCAGATTAGGCTACTGAATTTAAGGATTTCTGAATCCCAGGTTCTCGTAAACATAGTCACATTCCCAGGACACTCAGAGATTTACATAGCTATGGCTCTAGCAAAGCAACCCTCGAACACAAAATGTGAATAAATTTGGGATTTAAGGAAGAGTAACATCCAAAGCATTTGTATAATCATCCCTAATGCTCCGACTAATGACAGTGTGAGAACTCTGAACAGAGGGAATTTCAAGGCTTATTAATTCCCCTAGTTGGATTCGCTTTCCCAGTGCATCTTTCCTCCCCTATTCCCTATTAACCTCCTGTAATGGAGAGGAGAAGATTTTTATTGCGGACCATTTCCGATAGACATACTATGCTTAATTTTCCATCATTAGGTTTAATACAAACCCAATTTCACAACTGGCTTCTCTGAGGAACCTACAAGTAATGCCACATTTTTATCAGCCCCAATTAAAAACATTACGATACCCCTATTGGAGAGGAAGTCTTAAAACTAATGTGCGGCTCTAGTGCTAATACAGTAAGGGCACACGCAGAGTAGAGGCTACTTGTAAAATGGAGCTCAGATCAAGTCAGCTCCTTTGCAGGCAATTATTAATTCCTCTCTTCATCAGATCCTTTAATTCTGCTATACTTGGCTCTCTTCTAAGTGAGAAGTATCACAGGGAGAGCTGAAAGCCAGAAAAGTGGTGCCCCCTCCTTTCCAGAATAACTCCCCTCAAAGTAGGAGCCCATGTTATGCATCTGGAACTAGAAGAAGCTGCTCAGCAGCGAAGAAGGATCTGATTCTGGCCTTTAGGTGCATAGTGACAACTGTGCTTCTGGTCTCTTTGGTCAGACAGATAAAAACTGGTACCAAAATCACTGACTGTCGTAACAGCTCTTGCAGCACGATCCCAGCATCACACCATTTCTGTGCCTCTCTCCCAGCCCAGTGTTTCCACTTGAAAAAAAGTGTCACATAACCTGGGTCATCCTACTCTCAACTGAACGACTCACAGAGCTGAAAATAGGCAGATCATCACCTCCTCTGCGTGCGACAAGCGCGGCTTGAACGGCCTCTGTGCCACCTGAAGGAAAACCCAAACCCGACACTGGCACCAGCTCAGGACGGCTGTCAGTTATTCCCACCAGCAATTCACCCGGGCCAAGGAAAGAGCGGAGGGGCTTTTATGGAGACAAATTGCTACGTATGAGGCGAGCCTAGCGTTCATGTGTTCTGCTAATAAAGCCCGGTGAAAGAAACTTATTGTTCCTTCTCTGCCTAATCACACCGTGAGCCTGGAGCTAAGCACGGTTAACGAGGCGCTCAAGCAAGGCAGCCACCTTCTCCCAAAATGCGCTGTTTACAGCAATTCTGTGAACAATTCCAAACGCAGGTAGGAGAGGAGGAGGTAGCAAACTGATCTCTCTCGAGGACAATCAACCAAAAGTCTTTGGAGGGCTTGCAAACAGGCTTTGCTTTTCCTGCAGGTTGCAGCTATAAACCACACTGGCACCGTTATTACTGGAAAAGACAACAAAAGTCCCAGCCCCTCAGCAAAGCCAGACTCTTGCTTTAATCGTTGCACTAAAGGCACGTCACAGCAATCTTCCATAGTCCCTTCTCTCTGTCCCTTTCTCACAAACATGCCCTCGTTCCCTTGCAAATGAGGATGAGTTTGTAGGACAAATTGGCCAAGACTTTCAAAAGTCTTTGGAAGTCTTTTGTTTGGAGGACAAATTGGCCAAGACCAAAGTTTCAGCAGTCTCTCTAAACCATGTGTACCTTCGGTGAGTTTTCAGGCACGCAAAACAGTGGAGGCTCCTTCCTATTCTGAAAATGATTCTCCCTTGCTTTTTCTAAGATTTTCTAAACTAGTAAACTCCAGAAAAACCCCAAACCAGCATGAAAACCAGTAAAAAGGGATTTTGGTATTTCTTCCTTTCGTGCCTTTGATGAAATTTGGCTTGATTTGTTTTTGAAAAGATGCTTGAAATAATTCACTCTAATACTCAGAAATACTAAACATACAGAATCGTGCACCAGGTTCTTTTTGTATTATATTTCATATGCACATCTTTCTAGTCACATCCTCATTTTGTTGATAGGAACACACACCACCATATTTCATTGCATATCAAGGATGGAACGCAGTTCCAAGAAATAATTTGAATTAAAACATTTCAAGATACGGTGATTCCATTCTGACCCCAAAAGCTGTGACAATGGTTAACTACCCTTGCTGTCTAAATATTTCTTAATTGCAATTTGATTTTGCTTAGCTTCGACTTGCAGGCATTGAATCTTATTATACCTTCTGTTAGATTAAAGAGCCCTCTGAGCATTTGAAATCTTGACCCATGCAGGCACTGATCAAATCACTCTTCAGTTTCTCTTTGATAAAGTAAATCAATTGAGAGCTTCTGAAGTCTCATTAGGGCAGGTTACTCAGGGCTCTGGTTCCTTCCTAGAATCATTTCCAGTTTCCCACAGTTCTTTTTGTGCAGCTGTAAATAAAACAGGTATTCTGCATGTTGCTGGAAACATGCTGTTTGCAAGAGGATCGTTTCTAATAGCAGCAGCTGCAATAGCAAAGTACGTTGTCAGCTTGTTTGTTAACCCTTTTTAGTGCAACGCTCTTACTCTCCACACTAAGATGTCCATTGGCAATGCAGATATTTTGATTTCTGGAAGCTGACACTTTCATTATCAGCCTAAAAGTTCACAGGATACCCAGAAATTTTGTGTTAAGATGTTAAATCAATGATTCACTGGCTTTCACATAACCAGCCTGATTGGGAAACTCTTCAGGCATCTCAGCTTATCTGCAGAAAATCACATTTAACAATGTTGGCTCCACTTTTAATATTCATGAGCTCTCCGTGCTTATGAAATGGTCCTTCTGTGAGTCTCTTTGCTGGAGAAATAATCGTGAACTTGCTGAAGTAAACTCTGAGTTCTTACTCTGCCAAGAGAAACATAATGGAGTGCAGCGTGCAGAGAAAAGCTCAAGGAGAGGTCAGTTAGGTGGCATCTTTCCCCGCTTGATGAGTAACCCTGAGGGTGAGATATTATTGCTTGCCTGCTGCTACACCACCTTCTATTACATACCTTTGTTGCTACCCAGACAAGTGAAATAAATATGTCTCCCTCCGCAGAAAAACTGATAAACTTCTCCATAGGTGACACAGATAAGATGAAGAGCAGCTGAGAAATTAGATTGGCAGCCTGGAAGTGGCTCAGCATGTCAGAGCCCTGTGCAACGTCACAATAAGGCTGCTGGGAGGGGACCTGCTCATCCAGAGCACCTTTGGGATTAAAACTTTAGGTACTTTTATAGATGTCATCTTGTTTCATACAGTTTTGTTAATCTGAGATACAGATATCTGGACACAGAGTATGATGTTGCCTTCTGATCGGAAAACTAACCCATACCTCAAACAACAAGAAGTAATGCTGCAGCGACATGTCATCTTGTATATGTAGAGAAGCTACTTTCAAAATTTTTGCTTTAATATTCACTAATTCCTTCTGTGTCTGAAATGACAGGCCTATCATCTCTGTTTATATTTTTATTCTCTTAGCCTTGGCAAGTGTGTAACACGATAAGACATCCTTTGCACAAAATAAATTATATTTTGAGTGGTGTTTGTGATGGATTTAATTACACACATATCCAGTGTCTCTACACTAGAGTAAGGGTTGTCGATTATTTGACATCTTCCAAGGACAACTAAAGCATGGCTAATATCTCTTCCCCTTACACTAGGGATATGGTCTAAGCTGTTAAAATTAATTTGCTTTTTTGTGCACATCAAGGCTTTACTATAAGATAAATATCCAGCTATAATATGCTATATACAATACAAACAGCAGTATGGCAAACCAAAGTCAAAACATCATTTGTCTAATGACATCAACTGAGCTATAAAGAGGGACACTCCTTAACAAAAAGCCTTCTGACACCAGGTTTGACAGAGAGGAGAGGATGCATCTTTCATTTCAAAGGCTATGAAGAAGCCACATGAGCATAGTAATAATTTTAAAAAAAGTTAGAGAAAGTAATTTTTTCTAGATTCTAAAGAGATTTTTAAGAATCGCTTGGTAAACACCTTACATGGATGTATTCTAATCTTGTAAAAACTATTGCATGTTTTTTTTTTTTCCATCAGGTAGCATAGAAGAAAATCCCCTTAACGATGTAAGGAAGATGCTTTGGTGAGGTGGGCTAAGACTTGGGACTACTGGGTACACGTGTAACAGTGCAGCTCTTCAAACGCATGGATCCCACCAAGTCAAATCTCTCTTTGCTTCCCTGGTCTACCTACCTCACAGACAATTCATTGTTACAGCTGAAAAACTATTGGCAACTTCAAACCAGCCCACAAAACCAGCCAACTAAAGAGAGGAAGAGCGAGTTTTCCAAGCCACCTCATCATCTGCGGGCAGAAAAAATGTGAGAGAAATCCAGCTCAAGTAACAGCCTACACGGGCATGTGTCTCCGCTGCTCGTTTGCTCGTTCTGCTGCAGGCCGGTGTTAGCACAGCTCCCCCACAGCTCCTGGGAGGCTACAGACACAACTGAACAGATCAAGCCATTGATTTTCAAGCTTCCATAGCATGAAAATAACTCATCCCGCAATTTAAAAGGCCAGTAATGGTGTCACTCGCTAATGCAACGACATCATCTTAGAATCTTTTTAGTTCTCCAAACATCAGGTTGTGGATATACCCGCAGCAGAACAGGCAGAAGACCCCCCAAACTACAGAACAGTGAAATTCAGGGAAAATTTCTATATCTTTCTAAGCACAAGCCAATTTTTGTGTGAGACTTCATGACCGCGAGCTTTCTCTGCTTGTTCTGCCCATCTGCAAGGAACTACGCAGCACTACAGGCCTCATCCCATCTGGAGGGCAGCGACTCTCGTTAAGATCCTCTTGAGTAGTTGAAATGGGAGCAAGGGCGACTGTCCTTACCTACTGCCAGGAGATGTTAATGGATGCAAAGGAAGGACACATTTAAAGAGGGCTTATGAGAAAGATGGGGACAAACTTTTTAGCAGGGCCTGTTGTGATAGGATAAGGGGTGATGGTTTTAAACTAAAAGAGGGTAGATTTAGACTAGACATAATGAAGAAATTTTTTACAATGAAGGTGGTGAAACACTGGAATGGGTGGTAGATGCCCCATCCCTGCAAACATTCAAGGTCAGGTTGGATGGGGCAGTGAGCGACCTGATCTGGTTGAAGATATCCCGCTCATTGCAGGGGGACTGGACTAGATGACCTTTAAAGGTCCCTTCCAACTCAAACCATTCTATGATTCTATGCTGGTTCTCCTTAAGAGACTGCCCTGAAGATATCTGCTGAACATCTTCGAGAGCTACTGGCCATGCACATTTACTCCAAAAGCCACCTCTAAGTTTGTACTACCTCCTCTTCAGGCATTAGAGTACTAGTAGAACATGGCCTTTCCTGAAGTATTAAAAATAGGGAAATCTACCTCCTTTATTTGTTAGTACTAAATATTCACTTACCTAGTGAGAGATGCTTACACAAAATATTTAAATCCAGAGTTGTCTATAACTAGGAGAGAAAATTACGAAGCTAAAAACATGCATTACACAACACAGTATTAATCAAGCACGATATAGGACAGAGGCAAAACCAAATCTCCCTACATCTCACTATCAACAAATCATGTCACAGCCAAGCCTAGGGAGTCATCCACCATTGCGGATACAGAACATTTATTAGCAGAAGGCATAACAGATGGGAACAAATAGCACTGAACTGCAGGTAGTGCCTAAAGACGGATATTGGTAGTGGGATGACTGATGCCCTTTTTACGATCTCTCTTTATTTCCCAGGAATGAATATTAATAAACGTCAAAAATTAAACTTATTTTGCTCATACAGCACCATCCAATGTCTGGTGAATCTGTCCAAGAAGCCAGAATGTCAAGGTTTTAATTTGTCTTCAAGTCACCGGATAGAAATTTCTTCAATGCTGAGGGCTTTTTCACAGCACCTGTGGCTGTTAAGTTCAGCTGGAACTGGGGGGTGATCTTTTAAGATATTACTGGGGGTGATAACTTTTAAGATATGTGTAAATTATATCTTAAAAGTGCTCTGTACTTAACTTGCCATGTGTAAAACAGGGATATTGACCCTTACTCAGACACAGTGGTTAGTAGAAGTTTGAAAGAGTTTCCAATACACAAGCGCAAGATCGGTTTAATTCCTATTTCCTTTTTTCCTCTCTAAAATTTGGGATTTTGAAAGTTTTGGGAGTTTTTTTGGCTTTTGATTTCCAATGAGAAGTACAGATTGAATCTGTCTATCACTCCTTGAGCTTCAGGTTACCAAGTGTGCAGCTCGCACCATAATTCTCATTATCGAGACAGAGTGGGGAAAAGAGCTCCCTCAAAAGACGGTCCAGTTTTCCCAGAGGCTGAGCACCAGCCTGAGAGCAGTTCGACATCTTCCAGCAAACTGCAGGTCTGGGCCCCGTTTCTAAAGCACAGCCAAGAGATAAATGTACCTTTAGACTTTTCTATGGACAACACTGAGTCTCAGGGAAAAGAGAACAAACCTTCTGGAGGAAGGACTCCTTTCCTTCCCCCCCTCGTTAAAAGAGGGCTCATTCATTGCCGTCGGCAGTTTGATAGATGGCAGGATAAATGTGGGTATTGTGGCAGCTCCTCCAAGCCTCCATGCCCCAGCTGTTGCTCTGTAAGCCAAGGCACTTAAGCGATCGGTTGTAATTTCTTCCTGGTCTAACTGTGGGCCTTCAACATGCCCAGAGTAATGTCTGAAGCAGCCACGGTAGATTACTGTGTCTGGAAGTGAACATTCACTGTAGATAATCCAAAATGACAGGTCTGATAAATACCACTGGTTAGATTCTGATCAACCACACATCATCTTTCTGATTCATAGTAGAGGAATTGCCTTCAAATTCCACTCGCAGGCAGCATCCTCCACGGAGAGCCTGAAGTTGTAGGCTGTTATTACTCACTTTCAAGGGTACACCTCCAGTAAGTTTCTGGATAACTTCTTTTATCAGCTAACAGTTTCTGCCAATTTTGCTGTCTCTGTTAACCTACTGTAAAAACATATTATTTTTAAAAATCCAAAAGCTAAGAGCTGCATGCTGGATGCTTTATTTATCATCCAAACAAGAAAAGCTAATTTTCAGAGATGCTGAACACTAACACCTCCCTCTGAAGTTTACTAGCAGCCACAGAACAGCCTCCACCTCTCAGAACCTGCCTATGTTATCCTCTCAAACCTAGACAAAAGTGCTTGAATTATTTAGCATTTAACTCTGAGCATATACAGAGTGAGGTGGGGCCACTTGCCCAAACCCAGCCTCTGATTTCTCCAAATAATCCTTATACTTGCAACTGAGCCCAAAACCATAGGCTCCCACCTGCTTTGGACACGTAAATCCTCACTTCCATCGGCAAGCCTTGAGGGACACGTAGCTGAGCCTCGCTCACAGGACTCGGCCATGCCATCTAGAGAAGTTGTGGGTACCCCATCCCTGGAAGTGTTCAAGGCCAGGTTGGATGAGGCTTTGGGCAACCTGGTGTAGTGGAGGATTTCTCTGCCCATGGCAGGGGAGTTGGAACTAGATAATCTTTGAGGTCCCTTCCATTCTATGATCTGCACAGGCACAACCGTCTACATGGGTCAAAACTAAGCCGAAGGTAAGGTGGCACATGGGAATTTGTCCCAGAATGTCAAACCTCATTGACAAAAAGAAACAACAAATACTTGATAGAACTTCTAAACCTTAATTTTTGAAGTGTTCCTTCCTTAAAAGAAAAAAAACACCAATAAAATAAATTAATAGCAATAATAAAGCATGAGTGAAACAAAAGGCTTTCCGATTAACACAAACACGACCACAGGATTAATTATGATTTTGGAGCCCAGTGCTCTCCGAGTTATTTTCAAGATGCAATGAGCGCGTTTGCTCTCTGGTGAAGTGCAGTACACCATACCTGTCTTCTTACCTAACAGCGTGGTCGATGGAACAGTGTCTGATGATACTTTGAGATGGAATTCCGTTCACCCACACGACACGGATCAATGGAAACCAACAGAAGATCAACAGGAAAAAAGTTACAAAAATGAAAACAAGGTTAGCTGTATCTCACACTCAGAAGGTTCAGTCTATAGGTCATATTGGGAAACGTACAAAAGCAAAGAAAATTTAGAAATGAAAGAAAAGTCTGGCACTAGTACCTGAGTAGTAGGAATTCAACAAAGATTTGCTCTGAAGGGTTTTGCTTTGGACAGAAAATGAACAAGGAGAGGGTGATGCTAGGTAGGAAAGACATAAGGAAAAGACTTTAGACATATTAAGAGAGAGAAAGAGAACAGGGAGAATGTTCCTCAAAGAACACAGTAATATGGGATATATATATAAGGCTTATCAAAATGAATTATATTTTTCATCTCGACATGCATATTACATTTATTACATTGTCATCATGATGGATTTTCTTTAATATAAGCACTCCAGACCCCAAATACAGTATTATAGTTATTGTAAATCAATGTGTTCCTACACAGGATACACATATAGGACTATATTCTAGATACCCATTTTTTTAACTGAAGGAACAAATTTATGGTTTTGTCTCTAGGAGAAAGAACTTAAAAACGACCCCTAAAATACAGATATCAAATGCAGCATTAACAGTAAAATTAACAATCTACACTAGTAGTACAAAAATACATAGGTAAAGTAGCAAATTTTTTTGTTAAAATGATACGAGATAACAAGGGACTTGTTCTTTAACTCAGAACTGTTCCTAACAAATCCTATAATCCTTTCCCTGGTGAGCTGGGTTCTTTCAGCAGGACAAGCATCCCTGCTTTCTCCCATTAAAGCATTAGCTTTCTCTGGACAAGAATCCACAAATTATCTCCATATTAAACAAATATTTACAGAAAGGAGGCAGGGCTCAGCATCTTCACAGTAGATTCTTTTCTTGATAGTAAATTTATGAGGCTGGATTGTATCTACAATAGCATGCATGCACATTCTTATGGTAATCCATCATTTCTGAAGGCATATTCTTTTGTTATCATTCTGCATTCACTGTTAGAGTTACAGGCATTTATTTATCTCCTCCTCAAAATGTTGGGAAACAAGCTAATACAAATCTCAGTACATCAGAAAGACGACAATAGATAACACAGAAAAAACTATTCCACAATCCAACAGAAGTAGGTAAAATTCAGTATACATCAAAGTAATTTCAGAAGCAATTTTTTTATCTCTAGAGCAAACACCACTTAAAAATTTCAAGTTATTCTAATGGTGAACCCAAGAAGCCACTAGTCTAGGGAGTTTCATAGTCTGCAGAATTACCTCGTAAGCAGTAAATGAACTTGCTCTCGTTCTGCATTCTCCTATCATGTTTTCAGACTTACACCACTTGAAAACACATTAAAATAATAAAATTTCTCTCAGCTTAGTCTGCTGAATTCTGCCCCAGCTGCCTTCAAGCTGTAAAGTATCTCTCATTTGGGGCCTCTTAGATTTTCTCCCCTGTGTTTGTCAGCCTAAATCAGACCTTCTCCTTACTGTACTTGGAAAATGGCCATTTTTGTGGATGTATAAAATAAGGTCTACAAAGAGTAATTTGTTTGCCCAGGGTCACACAGCAAGTCAACAGTCATGGCTCGGAGCGGGACTCGATTTTTCTGAAATTTAGGAGTATAAAAACTCACCGGGCCATACTGCCTTTCCAGGAATTGCTGACGATAAATTACTTAGCTGAAGATAATACACCTCACTTCAGTGAGTCTGATTAAAAATGTTGTAACTGAGATTTATGAAACAAACCATATTTGTGAGACAGAGAGGCAAATTCTAGATTATTTCTTTAGAAGATAAGGGAGAAAAAAACAAGTTTCCCAAAATATTAGAGAGCTCATTTTCTCAAAATCAGGCAGGTAGTGGCCTTTGTGATGAGAGATGTGTACACACGGCTGCTACCTAACCAGAAGTTCTCACAAGCACTAGTGTGTGCTATCACAAGAAACACCTCCAGAGAGGATTTCACATCAGGGTAGAGATTAAGATTTCATTTAAAATTCTCTTTATACTCCCTAGAGAGGCACGTGAGGCTACACAGATCCCTCTAGGCATGCAAAACAGTGGAGGCTCCTTCCTATTCTGAAAATGATTCTCCCTTGCTTTTTCTAAGATTTTCTAAACTAGTAAACTCCAGAAAAACCCCAAACCAGCATGAAAACCAGTAAAAAGGGATTTTGGTATTTCTTCCTTTCGTGCCTTTGATGAAATTTGGGTTGATTTCTATTAATTTTAGAATTTTTCACTGAAGAAAAAAATCTCATGGTCATGATCCCACAGGTCCTTGGACTGCATTTGGCAGGTATCCTATCTGGGAATGAAAATTATCTATGGGGTAGGAATAAGAACTAGATCTCGATGTAATTGCTTGTTTTGACTTACAGCAAATCTAAAGACCTTTCAATTACATTCATCATAAAAACATGCAGGATCTGGAGAGGTGTGAATTTCGATGGTTCTTGGTTAAAAATGATCCTTAATACCCCAAGTGCCACTTACTACAGCGTCCTCTAATCTCTTTGTTCTTGCTAGTAAAAGCACAGTAACTTGCTAACTGTACAGTAGTGCTCATTAACGCAAAACTCAGTTCCCTACAGCTTCCAAAATGCTGCCTTGAAACTGCTTCTGACTGTAACATTAAAGCTACAAACCTAACCTGTATCAGCCTCACTCGGGACGGTTGTCTGGAAAGCAGTCTCCTCCCAAACCGAGATGTCACAAAAGTTAAGCACACCCTGATAAATCAGTCTCCAGCAAAACTGGCTGCATTTTAAGAGAATAAATCCTCAGAATCAAACAGCTCCTGTCAAAAATCCCCCAAGGACGTCAAGATGGCTTTTGCTGGTGGCATGGCATTCCCCTGGACAAGACCCATCCCTGGCATTTTAGCCTTGTAAAGCCAGAAGAGCAGCTCCTTTGTGCAGGACATCTCATTAGCGCACCACTGCTGAGATGATACACTACTGCTTCTCCCATTGCACGGATGGGCTGCCAAATTGCACACAATTTATGTGCAATAACAACCCTTTGCACACCCTTCTGGTCAGCGCACAGATGCTCGTGGATGCTTTTGGGCTCACTTTGTCTTCAATTTGTCATCTTGTTTCATAACAACCCTGGGCTGGGTCAATGCCTACACGTGACCGCGCTGTGTCACTCAGAGGAAAACGCTGCGTTTTCCAAACGTTCCTGCCAACTAAGGAGCAGGTGCAAACACAGAAAGTACCATCATCTACCTTTAATGGATTTAGGGTATATTTTTATTTTTTCAAAAGCAAGATATTTGAGAAAATGACAACTATGATGAGCCTGCTTTACCTCTGCATAATTCCTGAGTAAAACTGGACAAGCCGGAATAGCCCTGGACTAACTTAGCTTTCAGCAAACACCTATTCTGATTCTGTAGGGCGTCAAAGAGGCTGAGTCCATAAAATTTCTTCAGTTTAAACTCCTGTATGTACCAGTAAGAATTCTGTCTGAATAAGGACTAACAGTATAGGATGGAAAGAGGGATGAGGGGCTTTGCTTTGGGCCAGGAAAGATAAATACCCATTCCTCTTCCACTTTTCAGCAAAACCTGAGGTCTCCCTGTTCCAGTACAGAGACTACAGCTGTTCCAGAATGTAATTACATCTGATAGTGAACACCTCTGTCAAGTTACAAAATTCAGTCCTAGAAACACCCAAGAGGACTGGGTGCTCCTGAGCACTGCACTGGCCTCTACAAAGGACTCTGTTGCACCCAAACACCACGACTTTATGGATGACACCATTTGGATGAGTTTATATTGAAATATAAATTCTGACAAGCAGAAAGGCAGCTGCTCACTTTTGGTGTCCTTCATGATGCAGAGTGCCAGGTAGCACCCGCAATGAGGAGGGGGACATTGCTTCTTCCTTTATAGCAGCTGGACCTGTCAGCAGGAGCTCCCCGCGGGGTGACCGCGCTGTAGGCAGCAGCGAGACAGGCTGCAAAGAGGGAAGCTACAGCAGGAGGGCAGACAAGGGTCACCCAAGAACAGCAAAAGTCCTCCTGCAGCTGGAGAGACTACGGGAAGGAAAAAGCTTCTACAGGGACTCATGGTATTTGTTCTGTCTGAGAAGTCATTACAGTTATTGGGACAGGAAGGAGAATCTGGGGGGAAGGACACATGCCCTACAAGGACACTGACATCCGGAGACAAATTTGTTTGCAAGTCATTCAACAATTGTGAGGATTCCCACTTGACAAGTTGTCTCGTTCTATTTTATCGCTTTTGTGAGCCAGCACAGTGACCTTGGGATTAAAACCACTTAGCTTCTTTTGGTGGACTTCCATCAAAAAGGAGAGGAGTATGTCCATGGCACTGCTACAGCCAACTCAGGCTCCCATAACTGAGGGTCAAGATGGAGAGGATGACTACCTATCATGAGATATCTGCAAATGCTACTTTCCTTTGGGAGACAAAAGGACAATTTAAGAAGCAATGTGAGTGCTGCTTGAGATAGCTGATTTCAAAAGCTAGGACGGATAACCCCCTGTAAAATTGCATTAGTTAGCAGGAAGGTTAGGAAGGAATTCTATGATGTTATTCAAAAGTTACAGCAGGCCCACATAGAAACCCTCAAGTATTTAAACTTTATTAAGGCAATCTTTTAAAAAGAAAGTCTTTTATCCATAAAATTCCTGTATCAGCTGTGCACACTACTGCACAGAAGAGAACTTACCTCCAACACCTCAGCATCCTGGACTTGGCAGTAAAAAATTTGGAGAAATCATGAAGGCTTACTGATAATTGTTTTTCATGGATATAAAGAGGAAAAAAAGAAAAGAATTGGCCCATGGCTGGACTCAGGCTGTGTTGTACAGGGAGGTAGTGATAAAATCTGCAATGATGTCAGACAAGCAAAGGACTAACTGATTTTAAAAAAAAAGAAAACCTGGAGGGATGTTTTTTAAAAAAAATTAGATACAACATATTTTCTATAGTTGCCATTTCACGTAAATGACTCAGCTGTTTTAATTAGCCTCCAAAATACCAAGGGGGGTGGGAAATGAGGTCACACTTCAAGCTCATCTCATCTCTTATTTTCTGGTTGGAAAAAAAGCCCAAAATTTTAAAAAATCCACATTCTAAAGAAAGCATCAAAAACTTTATTTTGCCTCTACGTTTTAAACTCGCCACCTTTGCTGGTTCTAGCTGTCCTCTGCTATTCCTGTCTTTCAAAGATATGAAGCACTGACAACTCTTGCTGTCTTCTTTAGGAGATATAGCTACTCAGCACCTGAGAAAATCAGATCTTGACTCAAATCAATTTAACATCCGAGAGAAGTGTTCACTGCTAGCCTTGACGGTCCCAAACACCTATTTATCCATCTCACAGGTATGTTACACAGAGTGGCAGTAGCAACACATGCAGATGGAATTTGACATGACCTACAGATAGAGGGAAAAGAAGAATTCACTCAGCCTGTCCCACTCAGTCTGAGATTACAAAATCTTCAATGATAAAACACGTTTTGTACTTCCATGTTAGTAATAAAGGGAAAAAAAACTTCACTAAAGATGTTTAAGAAAAAGAGTTTTAGTACGTACTTGTGTTTCAGAGCTGTTCCCTGTTCAGACTAGCAGGCAAAGCGTCAAAAGAAGGAGTGACATTCCCGTAGTGTCTAAGTTAAAATTTATTTAACAGGAAGAAGTTTACAAATCCACCATGCAATCCACCATGCACTCAATCCGGATCTGGCAAGGCTAAAGCGTGACTTTCTGCTGCTTTGCCCACAAAACTCGTCCAGCTACAGAGGTCTGAGTGGTTTGCAATATTAACTAAGATTAGTTTTACCCATGTGAAGAATAAACCAGACAAAATAAGACATGCTGTCTTCCCATTCCAGATCTCTAACCATGAGACCATACTTTCTTTCATGACAATTTCAGACAGAAAATGTTTTCCATCCCATAAGTCAGCTAAGTGATTTAACTCTTCTACTCACAAAGGCCAAAATATTTCTGAACAACAAACACGTGCCTTTTTGACTGTCTGATGCAGTTACTAGAACAGGCTGTGGAAATCATTCTCAGTAGATTTAGGGTCAGAAAGACTGCTCTCCACCTATTTGACAGTTAAAACAGGGGCAGTGTCAGAGACATTTCAGACAGCTGAATTCTAGCGAGCTTTTGCAATGATCTCTCTCACTGTCATTCCCAGCTCCTCAACATTGTGCCCATAGGAATGGGTCCTCTTAAGAACCTAGAGCTCTCCAAGGGGGACATATCCATTGCAAGCAAGTTAAACTTACTGAATCCATTAACATCTTGGCAGCTGGAAGAAAAAGCTTCTTCATTGTGAACAGCACTGAGTTTGGTAGAGGTCTTGTCGGAAGTAGCCACGGGACCCATCTCCCTCTGCGTGCTGGTCTGAGTCTCCTTCTGCTTCTTGGCTAGCTTCCTTTAGGGTATTTTGAAGAGGGGAGAAATCAAGGTCAGTTTTCCCTCATTAAAAACAAAGCAATGAGAAAGTATTTTGAAAACCACCATTATCCCACTTGGTCAGACATGCAGGGCATGTGGCAAACTGCACGAGAGGAAGCTCCACAACTTTTTAATATAACTGTTGTGGAGCACAATAAATAGAGCGATACCAGTCTTGGAGCTTAGAGGTCCCTCCCGGTAACTCATCTTGCACAAACCTGCATCACCCCAGCAGTAGGAGTGCTACGTCATCCTTGAAGAGGGTGGCATAGGTAAAGTCCTTGGAGCAGAGGGCACGGGATGAGGGCAGAGATCAGAGCCACTCACCAGGACACAAACGGGACATCTGCATCCATCGCAAGGGGCACCTGCCCCGGGATTTTCTTAGAGCGCTCCGGTGGAGAAGGTGACCTGACTCTGTGCAACCTGAGAGCTGGAGCAGGAGCTTTGCCCTGTCCCCAAGCAGAGCGATGAGGACAGCAGCCTCTACTAGAGTCTGACACACACCCAAACTGCACTGAGGATCGACAGGCAGTGAAGGGTGGGGCAAATTAAAGGTTGAAGTTATTTTAAAAATTCCAAATATGCCTCTGTTCCTGCAAAATGGATCTTTTCTTATTTTGAGGAGAGGTCAAAAACATTGGCAAAAGCAGAAACGCTGCCAGCTCTGAAAACACTAACAAAGCCAAGAACATAAGAGGCTCCTCTTTTGCAAACACAGCTAATAATAAGAAAAACGGAGAGAAGCAGGAGAAGTGAGCTGCTAAGCTTCCATTGACATTTGACTGCCCTGTGCTTCATTCATATCAGAGAGCAAAACTGTTTAAAAATGAATGTGTGACATTCTACAACCCGCACCTTGAAAAAATATCACACAAATCCCTCGCACCAGCAAAGAACTTTGCTTACATGACTTCCGTAGATAAGAAAATAAAACAAAATAAAAGGGAGAAAAACAGATTACTGTAAGAAGGAGCTTTAGTTTTCTTTTTTCCTCCAACTCAAAGAAAAAAAAAGAATCCTAACAACTAAATCATTTTGCAAAGAGGTTTTTCTTCACTAAAATGACATGCTTATGGTAAGTACTACCCATCTTTTAAACTTCATTGAATTCTTAAAAGGATATTCCTTGCAACATATTCCAACAGGCTTTATTTACTCACAGCACATGTCAGTGGCATTTACAAGCAAGTCCAAGCACACAGCTGAGCCCCAGCCCTTCGTGAGATGGGTAGCAAGGCCAGTTCCACTCATTTGCAAGGAAGGGCCAAAGAGAACCAAAACCTTTACCTACATCTCTGGGAAAAGACTATTTTAAGGCAAGCTGACAATCCAGACCAGGAGAGGGCAGATTCATGGAGAAACGTCCAATGTCTGCTGCAAACTTTTGAACAAGGACATCTGTTTCATCTGCTCAGCCAGTTGAGGTTCAGGCTTTTATAGTTCGTGGTTTCAATTCAAACCCACAGCTACTCAAACTGGGTACATAATCACAGAGTGCACATTTGCATCTCACAAACGGTGTATCCACTTCTGCAGATGAAGATGCAAACAGAGGAACCGTCCTCGAGTGATGAAGCAAGAAGCTGGCGTTTCATGATGTTAAAAGCTTTGCTTCCAGTGTTCAGCAACGTTAGCACAGTCAGATTTATTGACTACGAGCTGCGGCTGTGGGAGCCCCCTTTTTTTTGTGCTGTGGTACCTGAGGTAGCAACAATGGTCTTGAAGTGCATTAACCCTGCTAGGAGGTTATTTTAATCCTTTAGATTTGCTAATCATACATGGCTATGCGAATTCTTTAGCAACAGGAATTAAAATTTCTCAGTGGGAAACACTAATCCTAAAGGCTGAAGTCCTTCCTAACAAGCACTCTGGACTGCTGGGGTGAGCCACTACAGACAATCACTACTGATGTTTAAAAACAGTGAGTCAAAAAGGGTGACTTCCTTATTAAATCCAGATTAAATTACTTGTGGCAATAATTATCTGTAAGTCCCATTGCCTGGTATCTTTTCAGAGATGCCAACAAGCTACAAAGAGCCAGAACTGGCAAACTCGTTTTCTCTTTCAGTGAACGAGCAATAACATTTCTGCATGTGCCAGGCAGGAAAAAATAACCCCGAACCCAAGCCCATCAGTCCCCAAAGGCCTGCTTACAAAAGCCCTAGGCAAAGCAGTTCTACCTGGTCCTGTAGAAGACAGAGAGGCCCCTAAAACATTGGCTTGAATGCCTAAAAAGAAAAGGTGACATGAGTTTAAAGTTCTCAATCTACCTCGCACGCACAAACCAGGCTGCTCGCAGGTGGACCAGTTAACGCTCACGTGAGTTCAGAGAGAAGCCACACAGAAAATCGTTCTGCATCCGAAAACGCTACAATTTTCTTCCAACAGCGTGTTATCAGTTTCCACCTTTCTCCCTCTCTATTCCAAGAATGTAAAAATTCTTCGTCTAAATTTAGAGGGAAAAGGAAGACAGATCTCTTTTGAGGATTTCAGAGCTAAGCTTGCCAGACACATCAAGGGGCTCTCAGTTTCTAAATGTGCCTTTTCTGCCTCCGTTGTGTGTCTGGATAGAGTGGCAGCACAGGACTAAGCCTATTTGGTCCTTACCATCATTATAATTCATAGAAAGGATTATAAAATCAAATGACTAGCACTTTCTAGAACGTTAGGGATGCGACTTAAACCCACAGCAAGGTAGAGGTTTATTTCCCAGCATGTCAAAACGCCTTTGGAATTGGAAAAGCATTTATCTGGAAATGCTGTTTCCAAAAATAGGGCACTTGAAGAGATCTCTGTGAGTCACTGACAAGCTGCATCAGTGACACGGCTCCTGCTCTCCTTACTGACCAGCTTCCCCTAAACACAACAACTGCAACACCCCGATGAAGCTGCTCTCAGTGCATTAGTGTCAATCACGGGCCGGCTGCGGGCTGCGGCCAGCGGGTACCCAGCCCAGCCTGACACCAGGCACTGAGAAGGCACTTTCCATCTCATGCATTATGCAGTTGAAAAAGAGGAGAAATAAAGGACGGGGCAGATATTTGGAAGAAGAATCTGATACGATCAACACAGTGTGAAGAGATTGAAACGTCAAAATGTGAATAAGGTGGTATCAATGGCTGTTTTACATTTAAGTGTAAGGAAAATGTTCCAACAAGAAAACAGAAGTCCAGGGATGGGGTTTACTGGGTTGCCCTTCTCAGTTCACAAGGGTCTGTAAATGAAGAGATGATGTTCACAGACACTATACACACACAGAGGGGATGAAACAGAAAGACGCTCAAAGTGGAATAAAAAAATGAGACCAGCTGTATAATCAGGCAGTTCAAGCTGACCCAACTAAAGCAAGGATAAAGGCTATTGGCAGTCAACCTCAACTAAGTGTCAATTTCGAAAAAAAAGTAGATGGAGATTTGATTCAGCTATTTTTGATACTTCTTCTCTATCAGAGAATAGATATAAAATGCTGAAGCACTATATTAAAATTGTGGGAGTTCCAGTTTAACAGCCAAGGAACGCAAACCTGCTATCAAGGACAAAGTATTTACTGCCATGGGCATTAATCAGAAAGCTCAAACAATATTTTCAGTTAGAAGTATCTGTAGGATCAGATTCCTGTTCTGCAGAGGTTTGGCTAAACTGCAGGGATTATTTTTTAAAAGCAGCTTCAAACTCTTCTCTAACTTTATCTAGCAATTTTACATGCATGAATGTTAAATCTGTAACTGCCACTCCTAAAGAGCTCTCGTACATGTACGTTGACAGATTTAATTTTAGATGTTTCACAGGGATGGATTACATATACACTATAATGTAGATTTGCATGCACAGGTAATTTAGACATTAGATATAGATCACGTAAGTTAAACATGAAATTTCCTCCCACAGGCAAGAATTGCATATTGCCCTCCTTTTCAATAAGCAATTTGAAAAAGCTACAACACACAATTCCTTTTAGGTATTTCTGTGCACCAGCCTGCTAGAGGTACACATATTATTTATGGTGAAATCTGCACAAGTTTAAGACAGGCAGCGATCAGCCATGCAAATACCCAACGGGGAGCACTGGTTAAACAGCAGTTCTGTTGAAAAGGATCGCTGTCCCCTAAACCTGTGGTATATCACAAACTCAATTTGGAAGTTCGATGCTGGTGTAAAAATAAGGTTGGGATTATACGTGGCACTAAGGTCTGCAAGACACAGGAAATCCTTTTGCTCTGACTGTGGATCAGAAAGGCCCCTGCTGCAACGCTGCACTTCAAATAAGATGTGTGCCAAAGGCAGGACAAGAAAGGTAAACCTAGAAAACATGACCTACAAGCAAGGGCCAAAGGAAACACGGATCTTTAATCTAGAGAAAAGAGAATCAAATAGGGCTGATAGCTCTTCAAAGGTATGAAAAGACACCAGAGGGAAGCTGTGCTCCCTGTCTACAGGGGCTCGGAAAAATGAACGGGGCTAAGCTATAGGAAGGGCAGGTCATTTTACACTTTGGGAAAACTATACGCAGGAGAAGCTGCCCACCTCTCAAGCTGACTGGGCAGGTAGGCTGCGAAGTCTGGTCACCAGAGGTCTTTAAACAGAGCGAGAGGAATGGGAGTTAAAAGCAGCCCAGCGTTCCGGCAGCCTGCCGGGGGGGCATCTCCTCCCCGCGCTCCGGGGTCCCGCGCAAAACCGCAGCTCAGCACACGCTCCCTCTGTGCAGACGTGACCTCGGCGGAGCTGAGAAACGCTCTCTGGCCTGAGCACACACAGCTCACTGCTGCTTCTAGCTCCTGTAAGGGCAAACCCTCCGCTGCCAGGCGCAGAGACAGCTTTACTTGAACTTTCTTAGTACAAGTTTCTTGCCATGGCAAAGCCGAACTCCCTGCGGGTTCGTGCAGGAGCAGAGGGAATTCACCGGAGCACAGGCAAAGTGCAGAGCGAGGGGCAGCTGCACCGCTTCTACTCACACCGCAAACATTACTTGACGTGAGAAGGTGACGTAACACAGCTATAAATCAAAAGATGCTCTGAATATTTTGTACCGTGTGTATATGAACACAGGGCCTTGAAAAACATACAGCTGCACTCTTTAAGCTGTACTTGACCAAATTGATCGTGTTTGTGGAGGACGTTTACTTACAACCACACAAACCTGAGACCAGACAGGTCCACATACCAGCCAGACAGTATAGGTATATGCAGCTATAGACAGCCAGCAAACACTGTCCTCTGCAAAGTTTAACCTTGTAATCACCACACGGACATGTTCTAAATAAAATCTCACTTTCTGGATTTTAATTATGTATTTTTAAATTTGCTTTCATTAGACTGGCGTAACCACTTATTCATGATCTTGTTTTTCCAGCATTTAATGAGAAAACCAGTTTCTTCTTAAAATTCTGATTTAGCAAGCTGACCTGTGCAGGTAGATCCCACCATCCACGGAAACATATGGAGATATTTATGCGTGTGTGTGGTTATACAGGGGTATGCCTACAAATAAAATAATATTTTATTTCTTTTCAAATGTTGCACGGACGGTGGAAATAAATTCAGCACAAACTCTGTCGTTTCAGAAAATGCAAGTATAAATTTAACTTAGTACCTCTGACAGACCTCTCCCATGAAAAGAAGCTCCTGGCTGAGCCACCACAACAACTGAAATTGGTGTGAAATTACGATGGGAGTTGAAGGGGTTTCCCACATTGCAATCGTGTCCTTAGAACTCTGGCCAGTTCAGGGGAAGAGGAAAACAACGTAGTGGCCATCGAGTGCCATTTTCTTATAAATAACATTAAATTGAGTGCTTGTAACACAGACATGGATCTATATATCTCCAGAAAGACTTCTCTGGTCTAATATCACCCTGGATTAAATTTCATTCTATAGCTATTACCCAGCCCAGGAAAAAGAAACAAAACAAAACTAAACAACCTCAGTCCACGCACAGAAAACATTTCCCTTCCTTTTCCTAGTGAGGAAATAATAAAGCCTTGATATGGGTTGCTGCAGCTGAAAATACTGTGGCAAAAGAGGTGTCTGTCATTGAATGCAAAACCTCCTTCGAGCCAGATGAATTACTGTTTGTGTTTTACAGCTTCAGCTAGGAAAAGAAACACAAACTTCCAGAGGTGGATGGGTTGCCATAGAATCATAGAATCATAGAATGGTTAGGGCTGGAAGGGACCTTCGAAGGTCATCTAGTCCAACCCCCCTGCAAGGAACAGGGATATCTCCAACTAGATCAGGTTGCTCAGGGCCTTGTCCAACCTGGCCTTGAACGTCTCCAGGGATGGAGCATCCACCACCTCTCTGGGCAACCTGTTCCAGTGTTCTACCACTCGATGTTCTACCATCCTACACGGCACGTTGTATCTTACAACACATTAAACCGAAGCACAATGTGACAGAGCTTGCAATTCTGTACAAACCTCAGACAGCATTTGTATTGGTGTAAATCCAGAGTAACTCCTCTGAAAAGGTTCATGCATCATCCTGGCAACAGTGATGCAATGAGCGCACCAGCACAGGAGCTCCTAATTCCGCATTCCTCTTCTCATCACAAAACCAAACTCTGCCCAAGGATCTCAGATCATACACCACTAACTTTTAACGATGGGTAAAGTGAAGTACACAATGCCATTCCTGCATGAGGACTTAGCAAGTGAGGAATGGAAGCCTCCTGGGTTTGTATTTCCATTTAAAGTGTGTCAAAAATCATTATGGCCTTCTCTTTCAGCCACAATAACATTCCTTCCTATATGTTGTAGGAATTTTTTTATGAAGTGTTGCTCTACAAAAATCCCACAACTATTTGCTCTACAAAAATCCCACAGCAAAATAGCTAAAAGAGCTGCTCTTATACCTGAATATTTCACGTTTCACCAAAGCTGCAGGTACTCAACCATCTTACAGAATCAGCTTTTACAGTGCTGGAGAGCAGCAGAACACAAGAGAGGCCGAAGGCAGAACTCCAGTTTGGAGACTACCACGGCACTTACAGCCCATCTCTGCAAAAATCTCTTACTCACAAAGTAAGTCTCTGTTACTTTAATAGACTTATCGTTAGGAACTGCTTGGAACTGTTAGGGTTGGAGATTTGGGGCTCCAACAAGAAGAAATGCCAGTACAGGAGATGACAAAGGGTTGAGAGGAATTACCTGAAGGCAGACAAGAACTACTCTAAGCACCACAACTTTGAAGTCCAGAAACTGAAACTAAAAATAAAGCGATGTAGCCCATATGGTCGTATTTAAAGGTCTGCCAGCAGATCTATTTGAGAACCTGCTTTTCAATACTGGTAACTCATTCAACTGAATTTTGCTTCAGGACTAAAACATTCATATGAGGTCCTGGCATGAAAACCAATTCTATTTAAAAAAATCTATATATAAACATATTGCTGCTCTTATTTTCACAACATTTCAAATAAACTTAAATCAAACCTCTCTGCTCATAAGGGGCCGTAGCAATTTCTATCAGCTTTGGCTACGAATTACACAGTTCTTAGCAATTTAAGATTTTCATCTGCAATCATAATGAAACATCTTATTTTATGTGAAACTTGAAACATGAAACTCAATAAAACTTCATCATACACTCCTTCATGGATTCTCCTGCTTTCTTCCCTAACTGCTGGAACAACTCTGACTGTTGTTCAGGGAAAAAAAAAAACAAAACAACAGAGTTTGGTTTTTTCCAGATCAGGGAACGGGCCAAACGTCACTCTGAAACCAAATGCTGAGATGCACAGCCTGACGATGGAAGTATTTATTTTGTGATGACTATTTATGTGTTACTCCTACCATAGTGATGCTCCAGCTAGCAGAGCTCACGCTTGATGGGGTACCTGGGACACCATAAGCACAGAGCTAAGAATGAGCTTTCTGCAAAAAATATTGGGTGCAGTACCAGGGAGATATGGTTATATGATTTCTGCATCCTAAGCTCAAATCTCCATTGAGTGCTTCAGTGGGGTGCTATGAACATGTAAGCTTGCCTGATGATACCTCTGGCTTTTCTCTATTGTGATGAGCTGCATGGTGTACGTTTGCCTTATTAAATCTTACTAAAGCACATGCTTCTGCTACTGCTGAAGCTCATTGCAACCTCAGGCTTGGGTGACCTTCAGAGATTTGGTTCTTCACTTTTCCTGAGTCACTCTCCTGTTCCCTGAGAAAAAAGTTCTACTATCTTGATCCACAAAAGCCATTACAAGAGAGCACAGAGACTACTTAACGATACCCTTACTTTCTCTGTAGCAGAGTAATCCTCAGCTGACTGCTTAAAGCAATGCTGTTGAGCAGTTGTATAAAGGGACACATAGGGCTCGGAAGCTGATTTATCTTTTTAAATACACAAACCTCAAAATAAAAAAAAAGGAGGGAACATTCTGACCACAAACTGCCTGCTGGAAGAAGACAAAATTACGATAGAAAACTAGGGACTGAATTTTTCAGGCAATGGTGTTGACTGATTGTAAGGAGACTAAAGCAGCAGAGCGGTGCAGAGAGTGCTTTTCTGAGGTTGATGAGAAATGTGTGAAAGAGGGAAGATTGTGACAAGAAACGCAACTAGCTAGTAGAACCCATGCGTTAAAACTGTCCCCTACTTAGTTAAACTCTTGAAATTTGACTGCTTAAGGTCAAATTCCATTCTCAGTGAACCAGTGTGGAGTCTAGATGCAATGGAGTTACTCTGCATTTACGATTACGTAACTGGGCAAAGTCAAGGCTTATTATAGTGTGTCCTGGTTTTAGGTTCCTCACACATTTAGCAAGTGTTATCTGATAGGCCATTGAGAAGCAAAATCACTCCAACAGGTGGTACACACAGGGATCCTCATACTTAATTCCTCTGTCTTGTTCTTTCAATGTAAATCAACTCTTATGGAAAAGAAATCAACTTCCACTAAAAGGGC